GTCTTTAAAGAAAAAGAGTAAAATTATTGACTGGACAAGACTAAAAGTTGAGAAAACAAGGCGAACAACAAAAAGAACCTTGAGAAAATAATAGGGAATAAGGTGGGCCCTATAATTGCATATAAAATACACGTTTGTCATCTGTGTTAACAACCGAGTGTAAATTGCACGTCAATCATACATCGACGTCTCTTTTGAACGTTTTGGAGGCGGACAGGAGAGGGCGATAGGAAAAATATCCTTATTCCATTCTTTCTATTATTCCCTATCCATCCTTTCATTTTTTCCCTTCATTCTGTTAGTTTATTTTCTTCTCTTTCTTCTTCTTCTTTTTATTATTTTGCTAATAGTTACTTAAGAATTTATAAAAAAGGAAACAAGTAGAGGGGAGAGACTCCCATCTTCTTTGTTTAAATAATCGTTATGTTATTTACCTCTTCGTCATACAATTGGTAAGAAAGTAAATAGTAGATAAGATAGTAATTTTTGAAAGGTTAGCAATCAAAACTTTTTTTTTAGATCGTTGGCGAAATTTTTGTGTACACTTTGGTCTGTATTTCTATTCCTATCAGTTCAAAGATAACGATAAGTGATTACCGTAGGTGGTTTATTTTTTTAAATTAAGATACGCTAGCATTGTAAAGAAGAATATAGACGTAAAAAAACGAGGAAGAGTGTTAAAGAGAGGCGAAAAAAAAATAAATGGGCGACGCTGCGTCGAGAGTCCTTTGATGTTTGAACAGTATTTGCTTTCGAGTTGTTTTTACGCATTCTTCTCTTCCAACCGGTTTTCACTTTGATCATTACACGGTAGAAGAATTTTACGGGGAAGTCTCTATGGGTTTCAATGTATTGGTATATGCTAATTAATTTCTCAGAGTAAAATCGCGTATCCCTATTTTGTTCGCAGGCCTACTTAATTTACAGCATGACTAGTTGCTGATAAATGACCTTTACGGACAAACTTTTTCTTTTACATATTGGTGATTTATTTCTTTCTTCACCTTGTTTTGAAACGAATTGTTTGCGATAAAAGTGCTCGTGGGATCAACTAATTTATTTTTCTTTTATTTTCAAACAAAAACATACTCGAAGCGTTTAAAAGTGGCATCTATCGATAACGCTTGACAGGGGGTGGGGAGCAGGGTGCATAGGGAAGAACAGATGAAAAGTTCTGGGTTTGTGGGAGAGGTAACGTCGAGGTTGAATATCATATTTCTCATTTTCCTTTCTTTATTTCCTTCTGTCCGTATACATTTTTGCAGTGTCGACTTTTTCCGATTAACTGGTCGGTTTGACACAGCCAGAAATTTCATTAGAACAATCCTATTTGTTGGGCAGGGCATTTCATTTATCTCGTTTTGCCACTACGATTCTAATTAAGCAGTGACTGTAGTTTATTAGGCGTTCTTTTGTTGACACGATTTTCTCAAAGGGGAACAAGGGAAAAGGGCGTATCAAAAGGTCGACTAGTCGTAAGGATTCCGTCTCGGGGCGGTAAAAAAAAATTAAATTATAGTACTTGGAACATTTTACCCCGATAATTAAACTGTTATAACTCTTTTATTCCAATAGGGCCTACTTTTTTTTTTATGTTCTTTAACGCAGGAGCGGGCTAAGGCCTAGTTAAGATAAGGGAATAGGTGGGGTTGGGAGGGTTAGGTCGAGGGTCTTATTTGGAGATAAATATTCCCTTTCTAGTTTTCTTTTCTTCCTCAATTTTTTTACCTTTCTTAAATACCCCTTCTATTTTAATTTTTACGCATGCGCGTCTTTAGAACTGTAATTTTTTATTTAAAGGTGTAACGAATCTTTAACCAATTCATCTTCAGCCCAACAGGTAGTGGCAAACGGAATGATTCTATAGAAAAACAAGTGTGAAAGTCCCTAGGCTAAAATCATTATAGTTTTTTTCCAGCCTATTTCATTTTCAAGTCGGCCCCTGGGCTAAGCATTAAAAACGCATAAACGCTTCCCTATACCCCTAAAAACAATTATAATATTTCCAAAAAAAAACACAACCATATGTCCCGATCTAATTAGGATTTCACGCATAGATTAAATACAGTCGGTTGACAACAGTGTGACTACCCTTTTAGGGTTCACAAAAAGTTTTCCTAATTGGCTGCCATTAATCAACGTCCAGTTGTAGATGTCCTCGTCCCCGTAAATCTAATTTAATACCGTCATATATAGAGAGTGACTATTACCTAGTGACTCGGAAAATCGTCTCCCGCACGCTAGCCCTTTGAAAATCTACTTTGCACAATGACAAATGACGTTTTGACTATAAAATGATGCGAGTTGTACAGAAGCGTCCATTTGACCAGTTTGACACCGACAGATGCTGAATTATGATTTTCTTTTTTCGACCAATTTTTCCCTTTTAACTTTATTTCTCTCTTTTTAATTTTTGCTCTTTTTTATTTTCTTTATCTTTCATTATACTTCTCTGCTTCCCTCCCTCTCTCAACAATATTTTTCTTCTAAATGAGTGACTTATAAGGGTTCTTTATTTAGGCGCGGTCCGGAAGTTCTTTCACTCTTTCTCGCGAATACCGCACAGCTGTAGGTTTGATGTCGGACACAACACTCGATTCTAGAAAGAATTGAGTACTTTTCTCTCCTCTCTCTTCTTCTTTCTTCATATTTCTCACCTATCTATTCGTATCCATCATCGGGTTCTAACTATATTTTAAGGGATAGAAAAAAAAACGTTGCCATTGACTACGCCTGGTCAATCATAGCGTTGTTGTCGCTCCAGCCACCCGAAAGTACGCAAATAATTTTCTATATTCTTCTCAAAATGGCCCAAAACTACCTTATAGGGCGAAATGTATTACTTTTATAAATAATATATATTGTGCACAAAGTAAATTTTACTACATTATCAATATCGGAAGATCCATGAACTGCTAGAAAAAATGTAATCACGTGATCAATCTCTAGTAACATCGTATTAGAAAGGTGCAGTGTAGTTGAAAATAACGATTCTAGTTATTTTCTTTGATGCTTGTAATCAGGGAAGTTGGCAAAAGAGGTAGGGTGCTGGAGGGAGATAGAAGGTGAGGCAACGGGTCAAAGAGAAAAAAAGAGAGAGAAAGAGAAAATGCGAAAGCATAAGAGAAAAGTAAAAAGGATTCCCATTGCCGTCATTTAGGGGATTCTTTGCCGCTCTAGCGAAAACAATAACGAAACTTTCCGGCTGAAGAATTGAATTTATGGGTGGGAATGGTCATTCTCTCGCCCAACATCCGGGGTATTATTTAGCTGAAACGGGGGCTAACTGTAAATTAGACAAATATATATGATTTTCGTCCAAAATGTCGGCACAATAGTCCTTTATTTATTCCTCCCCTGGTCAACGAGTCATTAGCGATATATTCCCACATACAGGGCAATGATCAATTTTCCCAATTTTTACTATTCCTTTTATATTGGTCTAATTTTCGACAGAAATATCCTGGGAGCTATAAGACTTGTCTTTATGCTGTTAGATTCTTTAGATCACGCTAAAGTTTAATAACAAAAGAAAATGTTATCTTTTCTTACAATCTTCATCTCTGAATCATTGTAACGAAAAGGAACGGGACTTTATTGCACTTTTTAAACGAGGACCGCCCATTTAACGCCCCCTTGAAAAGAATGTTCGGCAGGGAACGGAGATTGAAAGGAAAATAGAAAGAGATAGGAGCCTTGCAGCTGTTTCTCGTGCAACAACTGCAAAATACTAATAATCCGTAAAAATGTTGTTTTGTTTGTATTTCATTATGTGTTAATGGTCGTTCGCAGATATTTACAGATTTACGGATAAACCTTACGTTAATGACCCTAGTATTCATAGGCCTTTCTAGTGCCTCAGGTCTTTCGAGGATAGTATACTAAAATCTTTCTTTCCCTAAGTTTCTCAGTTTTTCCCCGATACAAATCTAATCGACGGTTGTAAATAATGTAAGAACCGTTAAACAAAGTTGATCTGCCTCGGATAAGGCGATATCCAAATATTGGCGGGAAATTCTTTGTTCTTTTTCTTAATTTTATCCAACTCTAAGTTTTGCTACTCGAACTCCCCATACTCAATCGTTTGTATTTATTTTAACCTTAATGGGTTGGATGGATAGCTACAAATAGGAACTTGTAGACATCCCGGAGAGAAAACAAACTTAAATTACAAACAGTCGCTGAGCAAGCCTTTGCTTTAGAGAAAATCGGAAAAGAAAAGATTTTACGCCCCCTATTGGGAAAAAACTTCGCTGTATACTGCAAATATATATTTGAGGATATGTACACAATATACAGTATATATATTGGAATTGGACAAATGTACTGGACCGTGATTCGGAACATTGTGCTCCAACGCTTTTCATCGGTAAAAAGAAAATAATAGAAGGCGGGGCGAACCCAAGAGGAAGGCATTAATTAACGATATAAAACCTAATTAGAAGATTCTTCCGCCTAATTTTGAAAACGTTTAGTAGATTAGCGAAATTAATGGGCGGCAATGGTCTTAAGTTAACGACCTCCTTTACTACAAGACTATTAGTGTAATATATTTATAAAGGCGTTAACAATATATTAGTATGATTGTTACCTAGTTTTCGCCCCCTAGCGAGAAGTTTAATAAAACGCCTTTAATACTTTTCTAACACAGGGTATATAATAAGGATATTGCGTGCTAGAATAATACATAAACAGATTTATAAAAGTACTTTCCTTCACCTCTTACATCTGTTCCTCTCATTAGAACTATAAAATATGGTTTTTTAGTTGAATTTTGACATACTTTTTCCCGCCAAAGAGAAATCTATCTTCAGCGTACCGCAACAGTCCTGAATTAATACCAGACATTAACTCGAAGGGTTTGATAAATGAGATCTAGTAACAGTTTCCCAAAACTATCTTTGCTCTGCTAACCCCACTCACTTTTATCTTTTTTTTTGTTTCTTTGCAGATTTCAGACCCCCAAGAATCGATTATTTTCGCCCCCGGAATCAATCGAATATGAATATCCAAGGTTCAATTGTTGTAATCCAAAATAATCAATCGTTTACGATTTTTTGCCGAGCTTCCGGGTATCCAACGCCAAGGTTTGATATGATCATGTAAAAATTTGCTAAGATAAAACTTATCTAACTTTGATATTATCCTTAACAGCGTTCGTCTTTTAAAGAATGGAAATCCCGAACCTTCAAGTAAAATTCTAAAAGGTGGTGGAAAATTTAAAATTACACCTAAGGAACCATTTGCCGTTTATCAATGCGAAGCATCCCAAGCTCAACAAGGTTCCGCCGTATCTAATAGTTATTATGTTCATACTTATGGTAAGTTAATTAAAAACGGCGCGTTAGCAATTACGGTAAAATTGTACATTTTGCCCTTTCTTTTATTATCCACAGTTGCCCGTAATCAGTTCCAGAGTAAACAGGTTGATATTCCATTTAGAACGGCCAAGGTATTAGATTGTTCAACTAGGGGAAAGTTTGGAGATTTTCCCCCAACTTTAATACCTGAATGGAGGAAAACCGGTAGTAGAACTGCCATGGAAAAAAATGATAGTATTCACGTATTTGAAGGTAAAGTAATCATAGTGTTTTTTTCACCTTTCCCTTATTACTTTTCAACACTTTCAAACAAAAAATATACGGAAAAAAACACAGAAAAAACAGTATAAAGGGCCAAGATTTCTATGAAGCTTTTACCATATTGCTTTTCTTTTTGTATTTACTTTGGGAAAAGTAAGAGTTCTGTCGAAAATTATATATAATCATATAAATTTACTTATTTGTTTATAAGAGTTTATTATGGTTTGATTGTTTTAAGTTTAGAACAAAGGAAAAAGGAGAAAACATAAAAATACATTTAAGGTTTTTGTTTAAGAAATTAGTAGTCGTAAAACGAGGTCAACAACCCTTCAATCGGAACGAAACAGTATATTATACAGTTCTAATTGGTTATGCAGAAGGCAAACTAGTTTTATGCACCAGAAAGCAACATTCTTGCTTTATTACATAGTATTAATCACAGCTAGTATAAACAAACGATTATAGGGTGATGTATTTGTACTATAAGCGTGAACAAAGTAATTGCAAATAAAACTCTTTAAGTCTTTTATCATTAATTTCTTAGTTGGAATGTTGTCGAATAAACAAATAAAGATTTACGGTAGACCTACATTCTTAATCTATTTTGCAGATAAATTGTATATTTTGGAAGCATTCGAAAATCTTTCAGTGGGGTGCCTACTACCAACTCCACCTTGCTGTTTTGGCGGTATTTTCGAAACATCTTGGGATACCTATGTTGATCAAGACGAAATGAATGATAAAATAATCCCAAAATTAGAAAGGTTATACCCTAAAGAGTCCGTTAATAAACTGAAAGCAGTGGAAGGAGAACCATTCACTTTAACATGCATATTTGGAGGTGATACATCAGCTCTAGAATTACGATGGTCGACACCAGGAGACGTCAAATATTCACGCCTAGTTAAAAGAGGTAAATTTAACAGAACGTTAAAAATTTCTCGGTTTGGCAGTGATTTTATTGGAACTTATACATGTTCGGCGAGAATGAATCGACACTATAGCGAAGTGAAATATCGCGTAGCGATGGTTAGTAAACCTACCTGGATCGACAGTGGACCTAAAAGTCAGACCGTTTACGACGAGGATGAACACGTAAAATTTGAATGTAAAGCAAATGGTACACCTAAACCAAAAGTTACCTGGTTAATTAACGGTAAACCAGTCGACAAACGAAGAGTGATACTAAAGGATGATGATACACAAATGATTCTTAAGAAAGTCACTAAACCTAATAGAACCATGATACAATGCAATGCTTCTAACGAATATGGACACGTATTTAAAAACGTACATTTAAGGGTATTAAGACTAACACCAACTGCTGTTGAGTCTGAAAAAAACCACTCAGAAATCCTTGTCGGACAAAATAGCCTCTTTTCGTGCGCTGCTTATGGTTTTCCTAAGCCCGTTGTTAGATGGTATAAATACAAGTTAGACGAGCCTATTGATCCTTATTCTTTGGACGTTGATAAGGAGATTTTCAACAGTTTACATTACGAAACGAATGTCTATGGAACGGAAATAGGGAATGTTCCCGCATTTAATTCAACATTATTAATTAAAGATGCAAAAAAAGATCACTATGCAGCTTACTTGTGCGAATTTTCTAACAAACACGGGTCTAATGTTAATGTACGAAAGCTGACTGTTTTTTCAAGAACTCATATTGTTAATGATAAAGTTGACCTAAAATTTATGGAGAACGAAACCATGAAGCAGATTGTTTGTCAAATATCAATTGATAGGGCATTAGAAGACAAGATAAGAATCAAATGGAGTAGATTAGAAGATGGTAGAAGCAGTTTCGAACCAATGGAATATGATAATAATATTTTTCTAAGTAAAACCAAGTTTGATAGAGATACGCTTGTGTTTTCTGAAGTTAACATAAACCACACAGCAAAATACAGGTGTGAAGTATTTTCAGCAATGGATCAGGCTACCGCATCTTGGGAGTTGGGGGTTATTGGAAGACCCTCTCCCATAAGAGGCCTTAAAATGAGTGGATGCTCGAGTGGACGAAGAATTAATCTAATGCTGGAGGCTGGTCGGAGTAATGGTGCAGATCTGATTGGCTACAAGGTAACCGAAATAATATCGCTCGAGGACGATCCATGGGAAATTTTAGACGAAAGGGAAACTTTTCATAAAGGGAACTATGGAGAGTTGAAGACAATAAGTAAATTATATCCGGGTGTTCATATAAAGATAAAAGTTGTTGCTGTTAACATATATGGGGAATCAAAGCCCTATGAAATTGTTGGTTGTACTGTAAAATATACTGCCCCGTCTGCCAACCCAACAAATTTGTGTAGTATAAATGGCGAACCTGGAACTTTAGTTTTAAAATGGAAAGGAATTGACTACAGGGCAGTTGGAGGGAAAAATTTCGAGTATATCCTTAGGATAAAGAAATCTCACAGCGTTGTAGCATCTGCTGTCGAATATGGAAAAGAATCTTATACATTCAAACCAGCGGAAATATTTCAAACCTATCTCGTAGAAGTAGTCTCTAAAAACGAATTCGGTCTATCGGATGAAAATTCTCAAGTTATGGAGGTGTTTAGCAGTGAGGGTAAACCTCCTCCTACTTCTCGAATAACTAATGTGAAGGTAATAAACCCTGACGACATAGATCAATTTGGTGTTCGTATTAAGACACTCGGAACAAGTGCTGAAGAGATTCACAGTGAATTTAAGGGCTTCCTAATTGAATACGTTGTAAGAGTGATTTATAATGACGATTCGGGGCAAATAGAGGATTTTGTTTACAAGATGGAAGAGCCTATCTTTTGTCGACCCTCAGATTTCACATTCCGACGAACAAGAGATGTATCCTCTCAAAAATATCCGTCCTTTATCGAAATCCCACTAAATGATCTAAAACCGTTCACTCGCAGTTCAATTATTGTTTTTGCGAAGAATAGTAGAGGTCAAGTCAATCCTGAAAGTGAACCTTTGAAATTAATCACTCCTATGAGTGCTCCTTCACAAATACCTTACGATTCTATTTTATGCAAAACAGGTAAGATATTTGTATACATCTTTCATTTTAAGTTAACTAGAACTTTTTATTTTAAACATAGCTCCTTTCTATGTTCAATGCTCTTTTGGGAGACCATTGAAATTAAACGGTATTGCTTCTAGTACCGAAGTTTGTTTAAGAAAAAAAAGGGATACTAATTGTTTATGTTCGCTGTCTATTGAACCTGACGTGAATGAATTCGTGTGCTCCAATCGCATTGAAGAGGAAACCGATTACGAATTAACCTTAATACCAACTACCAGGCCGCAGAATCCGATCGAAGGTCCGAAAACGGATTACAACTTACGCACTTCTAGTAGTAACATCCCCTTAAGAAAACCAATAGTTGAAGTGGAAGAGGTCAATAGCTCTACTGCTAAAGTTGTGTGGATATTTCAAAAGGAAGATAAGGGTGTTCAGCCTCTACATTTTAAGGCAGAATTCAACATTTACGATTCTAAAGTGAACGTAACACGTTGGAATGAAACTAATATAGTCTTTCGAAAAAATACAATATATATAAACAATTTGGAAGAAGGAATTGATTATATTGTCCGAGTAAAAGGTTACATCGGCCGACTTAATGGAGAAAGCTTTACTCCTCTCAACAGCATCGAATCGGAAACAGTAATTTTTCTTTTAGGAGTAAGAAGTAAGTAATACACTTTTGTAGCTAATTAATTAACGTTACTCCGTCGTCTTAACATAGATCAACAATTAAAAACGTAGCTTTTGTCTTCGGTCGATGACTAAATACCATTGAAAGATCATTAAACACCAACAATTTCTCATATTAAATGCATAATATTAACTGTTTATAAAAAGTTTTAAAACCAACAACAGTTGGCATGACTTCCGGTCAGAAAGATTTTCAAACAACGCCTGTACTAGATTCATTTTCCCTTGATCCAAACGGTATGCGTAACCTTTCTGAGCTGACGTTTAATTTATCATAAAGTCTCTTCTTTACTTTTTGATTGTGAAAATGGAAGAATGAGTAGGATAAGTAAATAGAAATATTTATATGTATATATAAAAGAGAATGAGAGAGTAAGAAAAGAAAAAGAGAGAAAGAGATTGAAAGAAAGAAATAGATAAAAGAAGAAGGAGAAAGAGAGAGAGTATGGGTGGCAGGGGTAAGAAAGAAAGAAAGACGTTTACTATCTTAATCTTGTTCCACTTGTTTTTTTTACCTATCTTATATTATTTGATTAATTTTTCCCTGTTTTTTTGATTTATCTATTAAACAACAAACTATGATTCTTTATAATTTTGTAGTATTATTTTTCCTTTACTTTTAATTCAAACTTTTCGTTTTTTCTTTTATTTTAAGTATTTTTTTTCAAAAATAGAGAATGGAACTTTTGAGATATTTAAGTTGGCAGGTAAAGAAAAAGCTTAGTTTTTTTTTCTTCTTAATTCTTAACCTTCTCTAAAAATAAATAATAAAATAAGATTTGGGAAGAAGCGATAATGGAGTATAGAAAGGGTGGTTGAGAGTTAAAATTGACTCATTATACTATACAATACATATATATATATTTATATATATATATATATATAATTATACTATATAGTATATACTATATATAGATATATACTAAATATATATTCTAGTATGCTTCAATCTGCTTTTATGTAATTTATTAATAAATTTTCCATTTCATTTCAATAAAATTCTTGAGAATAGCACGTATTTTACAATGCTTCACCGCTTTTTTCTAAATCTAACGGGAGAAAAGACCAAAATCCGATTACTTTTTTCCCCCCTTTAAACGATGACCTTCATTCTTTTATCCTAAGTATTTTTATTTTCTATTTTTTTTCCTTTTTTTTTTACAGACGATGCTGTAACTGGAGCAAGAGGAACAGCTTTAATTATCGGTATTATATGTGCCATTTTAGCTTTGGTTATTGTTGTTGCCGTTGTGGGCTTGAGATATTATAATAAGGAACACAAATACCATGGTAACTTGACAAACTTTTAGAATTAAATTGAATATGTTTGAAATAGTTCGACATAAAGAAATTTTCATTTTTTTTATAGTAGAAGAAAAAGAGAAAGAAAATGGTATATGCCCACCGAAAAATGCAAGCGATACAGAATCATTCTTAACTAGGTTAGGCATTCATCAACGATAGACTGATGAGTTTTTATAACTAAAACTTTTCTTTATTATATAGAACATCGCCTCCATCATTTTATCAAAGAGGAGATTCATTAGGCCCAGCTCCAACACATATTTCTGACTCAGATTCTGAGTATGAAGAAGCTGACTCATCAAAATATTTCGAAGATGGTTCATTCATAGGTTTATATATTGGAAAAGAGGAAAAACCAGAAAACGGAATTATTCAACATACAAGAAATGGAAAACCCGGAGCTTTAACGACTTTTGTTTAAATATATAATATAACAATCATGAAGATGTTTTAAATGATAACGATTTTGTATGCGTAATATAAAGTATAATATAAAACCTTTCATATACAATCAACTATGTGCTTATAATATATATATATACATATATATTTTTTTTATACACGTATACTTTTACTAGTCATGTAGATAACTGCCACGTCTTAAAGTAAGTTCTGTGTTATCTATGATATTTATATTATTAACAATATTATGATTATTGCTATGATTAATTCATCTTTTTACTATATAAATTGCTAATTAAGAATTGCCAAAAAGAAAATATAAACAAAGCGAATAGAAAAAGCTTCCTTTTTGTTTTTTGAAAAAAAAAATCATCGTTTTCGTAAAGAATAAAGAAAGACTACAAGAATAATATTCAGTCATACAAACTAAGCTTAAATCTATTCGGAGTCAAAGTTCAAAGACGCTTCTTGGGAAATATCCTTTAGCCTTTTCAACTTGAATTCTTCTAATTTTATTACTACATTATCATCCTTTCTTTCGAAAAGTACCTCGCCTTCGAATTTGACCATATCCCTTTTCCTAGCCCTTACAAGTAAGCCGTTGAGCTTATTGGAAATTGTTTCGTATTCCCTAAACAATTCTCCGAAAGTTACGGTATAATAGCCATTCGATAAATAGCCGATATTAGCAATGATTTCGTATAGTTGAAATAATTCTTCATCAATTCTCTTACTGGCTTCCGTTCCTCGTTTTTCACTGAGTGAACCTTTATTTTTATATATTTTCTTTTGTAAGTAAACAATTTAAAAAGTGTAAAAAGCGAAAACTGTAAACCTTTCTCAGGCCTACCGTACTCTTCTTTGTTGAACATGACTGGAGAAATCGGTGCCCACTCTCCGGAAATTACCTGCTGCTTGTGGACGTGCTGTTTAGATAGATTTTGCCAAAGTTTAATTTTAGACGAAATCTCCGACATTGTCTATTTAATAATAAAGTAAAAATAATAAGAGAATGTATAGTGTTATATACAAGAAATATAGGTATAATAATTTTATTGAAAAAGATTTACAACTATCTATACTTCGTGATGAAAAGTTGAATTTTTATCATTTTCTCTTTCTTATCATTCCTTTGTACCGAAGGAACTTATTTTTAGCATGAAGGTATAGTCTTCATACTTGCATATTGTACTGTATATATAGATATGTATAAAGAAAAATGTTTGTATAAAATAACATTTACACTAGCTGCGCACGTGTTAGTATTTATATATAAAAAATGTCAGTATATAAATTTTCTTTTGTTTATAAATTGTGTTATAAACAATTGTGCGTGTAATCTGTAATTCTTAAAGTGATTTTAGAATCCAAAATTAAGTATAGAAAAGATGCAGCTGCGCCCAAAATATTCCCTTTTATACGATATAGATGTCGCTCTTAGACACTTTTAATTTCTTTGTCGTAGTTTTTCATTCTTTCTATTGTTTAAGTAGATTTTCACATATATTTGATATATATATATATATATATATGTATTTGCATATTGTTTTTATGAATGAAGTGTATAGAGAGTTGATTGGGTTAGAATGATTATTGTTTGTTATTTATAGATATATATTTACCACACACAATATTGTTTACTTCAAATTGCTTATCCATTACATAAAAAGTACCAAAGTCGTTATTTTTTATCATATTCTATTACATTTTTTCTTTACAATCTAAAAATCTTCTTTATGTTATTCTATTTTTGTAATAAATAAATCGCATCTCAATTTATAGCTTACGTAATAAAACACGTATGGAAAATTTCTACTTTCTTATTCAAGCAGCCTATCTCTTCTTTTTTTGGCACTAGCAGGAATAAAATTTAAGGTCTTTAATATAGGCCAGAGCCTGTGTTTATTTTTAAAAGCTACATCATTGTACGTTATCCCCATTGTTTTAAGTTTTCAGCAAAAAAGGTAGAGCGAATGTATGATGAACAGATCTAACTAGTTCAAACACAGTAATCTGACAGTAGGACAGGTGACATAAAAAAAGAGAAGAGCTGTTTTGTTTCCTCTTTTTTTTATGTCTTAATATATGCATGTGTCTGTGTGTATATGTGTATGTATGTGTGTGTGTGTTTGAGTGTACAGGTTGTTGCATGTATGTACGCATTTATATATCTACATACGTATTATATTTGTATCTTTGTCTTTAAATTTTTGACTATTTCTCAATATTCTATAAACTTTATGAAATAGTAAGACTAGAAGTAGAAGATAGAACTATGATGTTTACTTAACCAATATAAAGTGAAAATTCTTAATACATCTTTAGTAAAGAAATACACTTCCTTCTATAAAAGATTAGACATTACACTGCTTTTCATCAACTAGCTTTTGAGTAAAATTATCATTGTTATATATATATATATATCTTTATTCATCAATTAATTTTATCAAAGACATTTATAACATATATACATACAGGTTTCATACAATTATTTAATATCTATACTATTTATATATATAATTATTATACAGTTTCGTTCTTTATTCCGTTATTTTCATTGAGCATCGTGTAAATTACAATTTGCTTAGTTTAAAAGTTCAGTTTTAGCGTACAATAAAGTCGTAGAGCTGTAAACTCCATTTTTCTTTCTCTTTTCAGTTTTTTGACTATATAATGAACAATACGATATCAAATTATCACGTTTCTTCTTGTGTATACATTGATTTTTTGTGAATATATTTTTTGTTTCTCTGCCTGTTAAAATGATAAGAGAATACAATAATATAGAATGATTATAAACTATATATTAAAAATATATACTTACAAATTAATTTTATTACATCAAGTACAATCATTGATGGAGAATTAAAGTTTGAATTAATAAATTCTCCTTGGCAGTGACGATTTGCGTTTCGTTGACAATACCACTTTTGACATTTATCTTTAGAGAATTCTTCACAATGGCTCATTTCGCATTTACAAGCTAAAAACAATAAAAGAGTTTTATAATGATCAATTTATAGAAATATCTACAAACCATCTTTGCAAGCGTTTTTTATACATGATTCAAAAATGTCGAAATGTTCAATTGTACAAAGAACTTTTACGTTATTTTTAACAGTTAGAACTTTTCCTTTAAGTTTTCTTGCGCATTCCAAATAAGAATTTCGATTTTCGCATGTTTTTGAAAAAGTCATAGGAGACGAGGTACTAGATTTATCATTCTTTAATTTCTTTGTACATTTATCCAATTCAATAGAACAATAATCTTCATCAGCAGTTATCTTTCCAAGTTTATATAAATCGCTTAATTCTGTTTTGAGAGAAAAAGAGTAATAAATAAGAAAATTAATTAATCAACTTTTTGTTGTTTAATATCGTTGCATACTTTTTGATTGACTTTCTAAAAAGATACTCAGCAGAATTAGAAAGGAAAGAGTTGAAATTTGTTGCATCATTTCTAAAGTAATTCTCCAAAGGCTGTCGTTAAGATAAATGCGACTGAGAAGTAGATTTCGTCCCAATTTAAAGCATTTTACAAACAATCGTACATAATCGTACTTTTATCGTAAATGTTCGGTTTCGGTATCAATTAATAAAAAGAAAAAAAGACTAGTTGGAACAATTGGAGGATTGCCAATGAATCTGCTGAGGTCTTTGTCTTTCAAATAGGGAAATAAAAACTTTTTTCGACTTTTTTGTGTTATTTTGCGTACAATGAATTTTTTGTTAAGCATAAAAACATAAAAATAATATATAGAACATTATATATAATATATATGTATATAAGAAAATAACACGATAAATGCATATTAGCATTCTGTGGCGTCATCTCTCGGAATGAAATGAGTAAAGAGCTTATCCACATATTTATACAGTATATATATATTATTATATGTCGTATATTCAGGTGTATAAATACATTTTTGTGTAGACTATTTGAATATATTCAAATGTAATGTATAAAAAAAAAACAAATAATGAGCAGTTTTTTTCTATTCAAACATTTTGAACAATTTGTTCACTGCTTAAACTAAATGTAATATCAGCTAAATTGTTGATATTTAAAAGATTTTCGTCTATTAACAATGGCTTTAATTCTTTAACAATGCTTGAATTATTTATCCTATTAATTAAATCCGTTAATTGTCTATCATTATAACAAATCAGATGAAGTGTAATGTCACTCTCCGTTCTTTTCATATCGAATATAAAACATGAAAGATCTTCTTCAAAATATTTTACTATTTTTAACTTATAATTGTCACTCATTAATTCATTATAAATAGAATTTAATATCTTCTGACTTTGATTAGAATCCAATTGTTTCTTATCTATTTTTTTACTGGTTTTCGATTTCTTCTTTAACCAACAAAAACAAGACGTTTTAGTATTTTCCTCATTTTCTTCAATTGTTATTTCATTCAATTCTATTGAATTTTTCTTAATAAATGTTTTAATAATTTTCAATTTAATGAATAATTCTCCCTTTATATTATTATTTGCGTTAACAACATTAATCTTCTCTTCATCATCAATTAGAGATGCAAGTTGATATTGTCCAGTAAATCTTAATGCATTTATGAATAGACTTTGACTTTTTCTAGTTTCAATTTGATGAAGGATAATTTCTTTATTAGTCTCTTCCTTTAAATCAAGATCAGTAAATTTAATATCCTTAGAAATAGCCGAATGGCTTTGTAAGTAATCAATTAAATCTTCTGTTAGGATTAGGGAATCTTTTATTTCTTTTTTACATATTCGATTTGTCATACTGAAAATATGAAAAAACAAATAAATTTATTACAAAAATCCATATATACTGTATATATATATATACGCTTATATTTATACTAGTTTATATAAATTTAATAGATGGTAGGCCTATTATTATAGGGAACGAAATCTTTTACGGGCCAGTCTATTATTAATTAATTTAAGAATAGTATTGACGAGACTGAATTTGTAAAGCAAAGAATAAATTCCTTTTTAATATAGGGCTAATATTTTTTGTATAAATGAATTTATTTGAAAAGTAAGAAATTCTAAAAGTTGATAAAAACTGCCTCTTAGTTGTTCGTAGTTTATTATTATCATTATTATTTCTTATTTAAATGAAATTATATAGAAACTATAAAATATGTTTTTTATTATAGTTATACTCTTATAAGGATATAGGTAGGCGTTAAAAACATGGCCACGCATACACCTAACTTATTCTTAAACGAAATATATTATATCAACCTATATATAGATATCTATTCTACTTTTAAAACTACCTCCTAGACTATGTAATTCAATACAATTATATATTTAGGGGAAAGAAGAAATTTCGATATTAAACAGCTGAGTATAGAGAAAATTCACTTATCTACCTTAAACAACTCTCCTCTTAAAGATTTCTTTTTATTCTACATGAATATTTATCAATATGGAATAAAATTCAAGCTCGATATATCACTTACCTGGCATATACTAAACAAACACTTTTTCTAGTCATTCCCGTCTATTCGATTGCATAGCACTTGGAAAAGAAAAAAACAGTTATGCAAATAATTATTACCTATCCTATAGATAAGATTCATATTGATTTGTTGTGTAATATAAAACGAAAATAGTTGGTAAAATAAATAAAATTACTTTTTTCTCTTTAGTTTTTGTTCTCTTTTATAAGTCTCTTTACTCCTTTATCTGTCTGTCTGTATGTCAGTTAGTCGGCCTGTCTGCTTGTCTCTCTCTCTCTCTCTCTCTCCCTCTATTTCTCTCAAACCTTTTACAAAAGCTCTTGGGTTGTGCCTAATATACACGTGCCCTACAGCCTTATCCAGCATATTATTTATACGTTAGATGGTGCCCTATAGCTACTCTAGGCCTATGTATGCTAATCATACAGATGTGTAAAGTGTATGAAAAATAGCATACGGTTTATTTTTTAAAGAATAAAATAATTCTATAAATAAACAAAATACAAAGAAATATTAATTCCAAATTTTATCTATATTACTAGAGTTTACAGCATACTTACATATCTTTATTTATTTATAAGATATTGAGAAATTATCTAAATAAATAAAAAAACGTTTACATGTATAGATGTAGAGCTTTTCAAATAAAAATTAAAAACATCTGTTTAAACTGGATGAACATCCGGTTATAAAATCAATCTCTTAGCTAACTAGCATTATTTAATCTTTATTATCTCTATAAGTCGAGTATTTTATGATATGAAATAGGAATTCATTCAGTTGGTAGCACTATCAGTATTAAATGCTTAACTTTAAAATGGGATTAACTAAGGTAATACATTTTAAAACCACGGCACTCGGCTTTTTTTAAATTAAGTTTTCTCTTCCCGCCTCAATTAAAAATTCACCGTTCAGGTACCAGTTTATTTTTTGTGTTTGATAAATACACAGTATATACTCTATATACTTTGACGGTTTTTCCCTAATTATAGTAAATTACAGCTGTCGTTTAAGGAAATTTTAATTATTTTTAATTGAATGAAAATTCAATGCATTTAAAAATAATGTCTTTATATTTTGTATTTCAATAGAAACTTTAAAGAATAACATCAACAATAAATTAAGGAACAATGAAGAAATCGTAAAAAAAAAAGAAAGAAAGAAAAAAGAGAGAAAAGCCTGTTATTCGTCAACAAATAAACAGATTTTACTTTTGACAATTCGATCTAAATTAATCTAGATCAAGGCTAAAATACTGTCATTATACTATACGTTATTTCTAATAAAAATTGATTAAGCTTCATATTTCATATTCTCTCCAATTTTCTTTCTACAATATTAATTAACTGCAAACTTATTTAAATATTAATTAAAGATATTAGTATAAAAATTTATTTTATGTATTCCTTAATATAAACGCTAGATGGCGCTAACAGTGCTACAAAATATGAACTATTAAATACTTTAGGTGCTTTATTAATAGATTAAAATTTAGAAAAAGAAATGAATTACTTAAAATCATAGTACTGAACAGTTGTACAGTTTTGGCTAATTGAATCGTCTAGCATAGGTAATTCTAAATTATTTACGGCAGAATACTTATAAGAGGAATTGCTGTAGTAGGTCTGATAATAAACAGATTTCTTCGAAATCTTCCTTTTAAATACAATTATACATAAAGAAAAGGAGACAATTGTCAATATACTGAGACAAATTGCAAAAATTATGCCAAGTTTATAAAGGGGTTTCGGTTCATTTTGATCGTTACTTTGTATAGTCTCCTTTAATTTTACTGCCGATAAAATATCCATTTCCAGCAAAGAATATTCCGGTAATAAAACGATTAGATTCATTAATTTAGGATAATCGATAATGTCTTCTAGTATCTATTGTCAAAAATTTATATATAATATGTAATAAATAATGAAAGAATCTCCTTACTAATTTCACATCTAAACACTTTTCTTCACTTATAGAATTTGATAGTGAACATTCAACATATAACGTTGAAATTGTAAATATTCTACGAATACTGTATAATCTTCTTATCCTATCACAAACTTCAGCAATTGCTAGACCCTATTAAAATTCATTTATATAAAATATTATATGACTTATATATGATATTTACCTCTTTTAATCGGTTTTTATGAAAGCAAAATGTTACAATAGAACAATTTTTCTTTCCGCATACTTTCTTTGAGGAGAAGGTTTCGTTATAAAATGAGCATCTTTGCAGTTTATTACAGTTTGGTGTAAAACATTTAATAGCGGTTAACGAGTTGGAAATATCTTCCGTGCATCTCTTTTTGTAAAAAATATAATTAGGGCAATATAGCTGAAACAAAAAAGACTATTACATTTGAAACAATTAACATTTGTAATACTGTTTTCCTCCTACCTTGCTACATTTAACAATTCCAGAGAAACATTTGCATAGATTGCAGTTGTCTTCCCATTCTTCTTTATGTACGTATAATTTACGTTTGTAATGACAATACGGTACTTTAAAATCAATTTTCACTGTTTCTATTTTAATAATTAAGTGCGTTTTATATAGAATTTCTATATTTTATTTAGAATTCTTACTTTGACATAGTTTTCCACTTCTATATTTGGGACAAATGCACTTAAAAGAGCCATTTTTTTCAATACAAGAGGATCCCCAAGGACAAGGTAAAGATGAACATTGATTTATTTCTATAAAGTAGTTAACGTTAATTCGTTTATAATTAAGTGGTAAATGTATTTACTTACTGGATTCACACTGTTTCCCGCTAAAACCATTTAAGCATACGCAATGGAAATCGTCAATTCTTTCAAAACAACTCCCACCATTCCAACAAGGTAGAGAATGGCAATGATTTTTACGTTTCTGGCATAACTTTCCTTCAAAATATGACTTACATAGGCAAATAAACCCTTCATCACCAGTATTTATGCAAGTTCCTCCATTCTGACAAATTTTTGCTTGACAATCATTTGCCTTTGTTAATGGGTATAATACATTTGAATATGTTTGATTTACTTGATAATTTCTATTATCTAATGTAAATAATTTATATAAGAGTTGTTTGAAATTAATCGGATTATAAAAATTAACCTACCTAACTCACAACTTTGACCTTGCCAACGATCTTTACAAATACAAACAATACCTTTTAATCCGTTGACACAAGTTCCACCATTTAAACAACTATCAGTTAAGCAATTGTCTATTTCTGTGAAAAAAAGCATATCATTTTATTTTGAATAATTAATTAGGAATTTTAGAGCTAAAAAACTAAATACCATCTGTACAATTTATACCAGTAAAACCAGGTTTACAGACGCATTTACCATTTAAACACCTTTGATTCCTACTGCAAAGGCATCGCAAATTCCCTATGGCTCTCGTAGGGCGAGGAATAGAACAGTTTTTACCAGTAAAGTCCAAAGGACATTGACAGAAGTAATCGTAAACTGCAAAAATGCAATTTAAACTTACTTCTCTGTAATCATAATTATTCTCTATTTAAAACTGAAGTGTGGCAAAATATCGCATACGAATAGTGAAATCACTTAAACAAATAGCTAAGATGAATAAAATTTCAATTAGAATTTTTCTATACCTTTCACCCTAGAACACCTCCCACCGTTTAAACAGGGATTAAGTTTGCAACTATCGATTCGATGCTGGCAATACTCTCCATAGTAATTTGAGCATACGCACTTAACCGTTAAGTTTGTAGGTATACAACTACCACCGTTCAGGCACCAACAGTAGTTTTGCAATTGATTGCAGTTTCTTCCATTGCAGGATAATTCTTCAATGACAATTAACAAAATGTATAAATATATAAATACATATATATATGTATTGTTTTCCGTTGATTAATAGATGAAATATTCATGATGATTAAGGATGATTGTACAGTATAAATAAATTTGATAACCCTACCATATTCGCAATTTAAGCCATGATATCCTCTCTTACACTCACAAATATAGTGGCCGTCAGCCGTATTTTTACAATAACCACCGTTTTTACATGGTGAATTGGTTGCACAATAATCTAAATCTATATAGAGAAAGAGAGAAAGACAGATAAAGAGAAATTAACTGTTAAATAGAAGAGATTTTAGGGCATAAATACTAGCCTTTATCACACAAACTACCACCCCAATTTTTATAGCAAATACACTGCCAAGGTTTGTCGAGGCAATAACCGTTTTTACACCCGGGAAAAGCTTTACAAACGTTGCACAGGACGCCCTGCCAACCAGGATCACAACTGTAAGGAATTTTTTTCAAAGCAATTAGAGAAATCTATTTCCTTTAAGAAATTTGTATCAATGAGACGTAATTGTACTTGTAGTTTAATAAGATGATATCTTAATTATTCTTACCTGCATTCTCCTTGCTTAGTGCAAGTACCATGGAGGCAACCAGCTTTACAAGTTGCTGTCGCAGAGATAAGGTTAATTAGTCGAGGAAAAAAATACATATTGAAAGAAAGAAAATTAAAGACACGGATGCAATAGTCACAAAAAAGGGAAGTAGAGCTTATTACGATCATCGAAACAATTAATGTATTTCTTATGTATCGTTTCTAAACGAATTTAAGCATACTAAATACATGCAGTTACGAATTTTAAACACCTTTTTCGCAGTGTCTGCCAAACCAGCCTTTAAGGCAAATCTTATCTCCAGACGAATCACACAGATAATGACCATATTTTTCGTTTCTTGGCCGACAATATGTCTTACAATCTCTTGCGTAGTAATTCTGATTGCAAACCATTCTAATCTTATAATGGAATAGTTGACCATTAACATTTCTCAAAATAGAATTCCATCGTCTCCCACTCAGTAACGCTCCATTATAGAAAGTCCAAGTTGACCATGGAGAGGAAATATCAACGACTTGAAGTGTTAGTGTGAAAGTTGTCTGTTATGTTATAAATTATGATTTATATATATTGGGAATACAATCTATTATTTTAAAGGATAATTGAGTTTTGATATGATATAAGATAGAAGACAAATTATGTTGAAACACGAAAAATAAAACACTAACTACGACAATAATAATGAAAAAGATAGAGTAAAAGAATTATTATTTAAATATGGATTTTATATATTTTGTTCTATAAGAAAAATAAATATTTTAGCTGGAAATAAACTGTATATTTACTGATTAGGAGAAAAATCTCTAGAATTGCGTGCGATGCTTAGTAATCGACGTCCAATCGCACTAGCTATATTTCCCATTCTAACTGTCGTTTACAAAAAAAAAAGAGAAAGAAAAGGAGATTGTCTCGAAGGGAACACGAAGAATTCTAGATAATAGAAATATACAGTTTTTGATAAAATGAATAATATAAGCAGTATATTATATTTAAATAACTAAAGGTTAATTAAATGTAAATTTATAATGCAATGCCTGTCGAGGCAATCTTATTTGACAATTTTATAAACAAAAGAGCAAATAAAAATGACTACTGAAAGAGAAGTATGAAATACTGAATTAGACAATTTTAACTGACCATCCATGCATTTTTTAAAGGCAACTCAATAATAGTTCCCCATTTTGGCGAAGCCAAAGAGGCATATGCAACAGAACACTCTTCATCTAAGGCAGTTAATGGTTGAAGTTTCTTGAGACAAACTCGTAAGTAGGTCGAGTTCCTATCTTGTTTTGGAATATCCATAAGAAATATTTCGAATTTACCATAAGAAGTTGTTTCAAAAGCAAAAGAAAATAATAATAGAAAACTATGCCAGTGTATGATCGTCATAGGGAAAGTTTCGTGCTCGAAGACAAAGTGAGATTAATATGAAAGGAACGTTTGCAAACGTAATGCGCATGCGCTTTAGATGATGTATGAATGAGTTGTTTTTTGTCTTAACTCATTTTCATGTTATTTCTCACAGACCTCTAAGTCGACTTTTGGGAATCATTTTGTAGTTTTTTTTCCTATCCGTTTCGCCTTTCTTTATGTATAAAGAGGAAAAAGTTTTTTTGAAACGCCATAGCTTTACGTTACTTAAGACGTGATTCGTTCAACGTAATTAAGTGAGAGGGCGTAAATTTTAGAAAATATGCCCTTAATTAACTTGCCTAATGAGGTTGGGAATTAATCATCGTTTTACTAGTACATGATAGTTTCATAAGAGGAAAACATAAACAGAACGTGATAGCTTACCAATTTCTATTGATAGGAAAAAAATACCGGACTATATTGTCGATTACCAACTGAATAGTAGATATTACTTCACTAAAAGCTCATTTCCTATACGCCTTTGACAAATGTCACGCCTAAAACGGAAAACCAGTACAAATTTTGTACAATAGTAGCAACATTTTTAGCCGCTTAATGGCGACACATGTAAACAGTTACGTGGCACCATCTATACAGCTTCCGTAAGTCTATATTTATAACCTCTGTTTACACTTTTCGGACCTAAGTAATAAAACATTGCAATATATATGATCACTTTTACTTTATAGACTTCTCTTTGATACATGAAAGAAATGAGAAATGAAGTCTTACGAATGTTTGAAACTTCTTTGATAGAAGTGAAAATATCATATATACTTATGGAAAATTAATGGATTTATGGGTTAAATTGATGGCTGACACACTATAAACAATAAATTCCTTTTAGAAAAGTTTTCCCTAAATAGCTAAAGGGTTAGCTTGTCAGTGACAAACAAGTAAGAGCATTTCGAACACTTAAAGTACGAAAATAATTATTAGAATAGGTCTCCAAATACTTAATTAAATAGTAGATGATATTTTACTTTTACTAAAAATACATCTCGTTTCTTTTAGCTACAAATGTTACTAATCTATTTACATAGTTAAACGTTTGCACCTTTACAGTTGCCTATCACTTATTAAACCCAAATAGGCGTTTCAAACAAACTTTGATCTGACAAACATCAACTTCTTTAAATTATTACAAGATTGTAATTTTAAAAGAGTGATGTATTCATTTTGTAACAGAAAACAAGATAAATAAATAGATATATGAAAGAACAAACAAATACTTCTTCCTAGGATGTTAGATTTCAATAAAATGATCTAATACCAATTTGCAGTAGCAAACAAAATTTATTCCCTTTGCACGATTTCCCTAAAAAATGGGAAGCTCTCTAAAATTGCCTTGTAATTATTCTTGAATGTATTTTGTAATTAATCTAATTTATACAGATTCATTATTCAATTTTATATTATTATTATTCTTTTTTTTAAAAAAACAAAGGAGACTAATAATATTCTTTTACAAATTATTTCAGTTTAAGGACTATAGTTTTTAAATTACAACATTCCTATATATATAAGTATCATAGAAGGCTCTAGCATCAATTATCAATTCATATTCATTTTATTTAATATCTTATCTCCTGGTAAGTAAAAATATAAAAGTAGAATTTTAGAAGAAAAACAATTTATAGGAAAATATTAAAGTTTAACAATTTTTGCGTCCATCATTTCATAAAATTTGACATATTTTGCTTTTTAAAGTTTGAAATACCCAATAGCTATTTTGTGTGTGTTTTCTTTTCTCTTCAGATATTTCACTACCTAGTTATTTAGATAAGACCTTGTTTTATGCTTCAAAGAGTATTATGTCATACATATTTCTATCAGGTGTTCCTATCATCACTCTTACTAGGAGCTGTAAGTTAGAATTCTAGTCTTACGAGAGAAATTCGCTGAATATAAACTAAGTCAAAATCATGACGTCAGACCTCTATAGATTAGTTTGCCAAAAGAAGAAAAGTAAAAAATTATAAGACCGAGATCCAAGTAGAGTGTTAAAGGTCGATTTAATTAACACCATCGTTTATGATAAGCATTAAAAGATTCCCGGGAAAATTATTTGTAGAATAAGTCATGTTAAAAAAGAAAGGTTACCTCTAATGAGAGGTTTTGCAAGTAAAATACTGAAAATACAAAAAAGGAGGTTAAGAGTTAGTAGGGGGTAACAGGAAGGGAGGAAGAAGAAAATAATCTTCTTTTTGTTTGATTATTTATTTCTAAAAGAGTTTAATTAAGTGTAAAGATTCTATTGAAGAGAAATTAAATTAATTTATGATAAAATCATTTTAAGGCGTGCTTAATTGACTGTTAAAGAAATTTCAAGGAATTGGTAAATATATATTTACAGTAGCAATAAAAAAAGTATGGACCGGAAGGTTTTTCATTTGTAGGGATTTGTTAAACTAGTAGAGATTTATCATGAGTCTAGTAGTCTTTTGTAACCTGTAATGGAAAACGTAGTCATATTATAGACGAAAACTGATTACTGTATTTGGAAGGTAATAGAAGTAAGGTGATTTTTACTTGTTATAATAGCAGAAAGTAGGTGGGAATACCCGAGTTCGAAAGATAATAAGACTTAAAACTGGGACTATTGAGATTGCAATAACTAAATCTAAAAGACAAGTAGAATTCATGTTGTGCATATTGCGCAATTTACTATATACAGTAAGAATTTTAATTCATTTTTTTCACTCTATACGAGATACACGTATCCAATTTTAATACTTACGAATAGAAATACTTAAAATCAATATGTATTTAATAACTTGAAAAAAATTAGGTCAACAATTCTATAAGTAAGAAACTCTCGCTCCATCTTCGAATCGGAAATTATCTTGACTATCCATCTGCGAAGGAATTCATTCTGCCAGCTTTTCCTATTCCAGACCACTAGTTAGAATGACAGCGAGTGCCATTGTTGGCGTTGGATATTTGAAATTGGTTAACATTTATTGTCTACAACTTCAGATTTATACGAGTATCAAGTATTAAGAATTTTTTATCATGAATACTGAAAGCTAGGTAAATCCATATTTTAAGCAAGAGCAACAGTATCCTTCATAGATATTTTCTTAGAGTTTCTCAGTGTTTGCTAATAATGATTTCCTGCCCCAATGACTCTCACAACTGGAGAGTTACTAGAGTTTTTTTAACTCGGTTGCTTCTTATGTTTATTTGTTTAAAGAAATTAAAGTAAATTAAACAAAATTCTAACAAATTTGCAATCCAATCGGGGAAAAAACCTGTCAAAATATTCAAGATTAGTTGTTTTTGCCTTTCGTCCAAAACAAACCAATACTCAAACAAAAAATACATCGAAAGCTATCGATACCTCTTGCAAATCTTATTTGTCTTCTTTTCCGTCTTTTTTCATCAATAATCATAATACTAATAGGGTGGTAAACACTTGTATGTATCATTAAGCCGTCTTAGTTCTAACTTAAAGCCTCTTGAATATTTTTTATAAATATATAAAAATATAGTTGTTAAATAAGTTGATGCCAAAACAGACCTGTGCTTATTTAACTAATAACTCACCAACTATTAATGGAAAGGATAAAATAACGTGTCCAGAGAATATATAAATATAGAAACAACATATGCTTTCACATGATATGATTTTTATAACAATATCTTTGAAAGTTGCTGTTTTCATTCAATTAAAATATATTGAGTTATTTTGGAGTTAAATAAGTGCTTAAACATTCTTTAAATATTTAGTTGAAAGGGAAATCGATTAATTAATTTGTCTGAAGCTTAAAAAGCATAAGCTATTACACTCTCTTGTAAGGGCAAGGCTTTGATCAAACTCTCTACGATAGATATAGGAAAAAAGAGAAGAAATTTGATTTAAGAACTTGTAAGTATAAATAAGATGGCAGCTTATAAGAGAAAACTGATAAGAGGCCCTGAAAGAAGATAAATATTGTCCAGATGGTTACTCAAAGGCCTAGTTTAAGGATAGAACAAGAGATTTAGGTTTTTTTTTTAAAATTCTATCTTCTTCACTAGCACAAAATTTATATCTTCTGAATTGATTAATGAATAAAATTGCTTATAAACTTTAATTGTATTCGCATTTCCCAGGAATTGGAGAATATATGTGAGAAAGTAAAAGAAAATGCAGAAAGAGAGGTAAGAAACGATCATAGATAGAGAGAGAGAGAGAGAGAGAGCAAAATAGAGAAATAGAGAAACAAACAGACAGGGTAAAGGGGATAGAGGAGAGTGAAATAGACAGACAGATAGATAGAAAGATGGAGAGAAACAAAGGGTGTAAGGCATTAAAAAGGAGTTGGATAGGTTTTGAGCTAAAGAAGGTAATATAGAGTATAAAAGTCAGCTTCTTTTAATCTTTTGTTTCAAATACTTCTCTACTTATAAAAAAAATCTATCTTTTCTATTAATTAGTTAATAAAAAAAATTTGTCCTATTCTTGTTATCTATATACACATTAGCTTAGTTGTCTTTAAAGACTTGTAATTACATTTTACAACAATTATAATAGCATTTAAAAAATAACAATTAGTTAATGAAAGTAGAAAAATTTTAAATTTTCAATAAACTTTCCAGGTGTTTGTATAAATGAAATGTAAAATATTAAGTTTCTGAGAAAAACTATTTATTAAGATTTGAATGATTTCAAGAATTGTTACCATGAAATAGAAGCAGAAAATTCCATCTGTAGTGATGAAAGATAGAAAAATGTCTGGAAGGTAGATTAAGACTTAACTTCTTTTATTATAAAAATATAAGAAAATAAACTACTTAAAATTTGTTAAAAGGATATATATATATATATCTTTATATATATTTATATATATTTATATCTAATATTATCAATAAACAGTTTGTATAAGTGTGATGCCATCACAAGAAATTTATCCTATTTAACAAAAACCAAAAGAATAAGAAAAAAGAGAAAAGAGCAAGTGAGGTTGGCCAAACCTTTTTGAGCTTAGTTTGTGCCATTGCTTATGACGGTTTCCTGTCGGATTTTCAACGAAACAAGAAATACTAAAGACAATTTTTTTTTGATACAATTGAATAATCAATAATAAGGAAATCTTTTATTCTCCTTTCAATTAATAAATTGAATGGAATATGAAAAGAAACAACTGACAACAGTTTCTATAGCTTTTAAATTTCTCATCTTAAAAAAGGAAGAAATTAGTAACGATTACATCTTTAATTTTATCCGAAATGCTTAAATAACTACAATATTTATATAAATATATAAAGTATGAATTATTTATGTTGTTAAATAGTAAAACCGAATGTACTTTTTTTTTATATAACAAGAGCACTTTAATTGTATTTTTATCTTATAGCTCATTAATGATTTAAGAAAATAAGAACAACGATGAACCGAAAAGCAGAATATAAGGAGAATAACGAAAACGAAAGAGAAGTACCAATAGTAGTGGATAGAAGATGAGTTAAAGAAGATAAAATGAATAAGAGTGAGAATAGAGAAACGAAAAGAGGGTAAAGCCCACTATTTAATCATATCTATTTGTGGCAGTAAAGAAAAGAGATTCTCAACAACTTAGAAAGTTTTTGATTTTTCTCTTACAAAAGTTAATCTATCTCCTCTATTGAAATGATAAATTATGAACCATATTCTTTTTTGAATTATATAGTTTTAGAGAAGTTTTATTAAGGATGTTTGTTTAGCAACAGGAGCGGGTGTCTATCACAGTTTTCAGTATTGTTGACTATAAGAAATTATATATGTAATCCCATAGAAAGCTCTTTGATGGATTAATATTATGCCTTAATATATTTGATCGAGTACATATTTCTATATTTTAAATTGCATTGAAAGCCATAACCAATTGACAGAAAGAGAAGAGAGTATAAAAGGACAACGATCTTATTTTTTTAATCGTATTAAACTGTTATAATATAATGGAATAAAACTGGTTTAAAAATGAAATCAGGTAAAATACTTATGGCTTTGATACTTTCTTATAAATAAGAATCAATAAAGTCAGTCCTTTTTTCGTTAATCTTCAGACAAAACGTAGTTCCATTTTCTCTTATATGCCTTTTCCTTTTCAATACCTTACCAAAAAAGAGCATCAATAGTTACACGACGGTATAAATGGTAGAAGAAAAGCTAATGCATAGAGCTAAGGAAAAGAGTAAAAGATAAGAGAAATAGATGTATTAACATATACTGTATATATATATATATATATATATATATATATATATATATACTATATAAAAGAAATAATTTGAATCTCAAACAATAAAAAATGCATTAAATAGTTTGGCTTCTTGCTGGACATTTAAAGAATTGTTTAGATGAAAACTTAAAAAGTTAACTATAATGTATTGTTTCAATTAAAGATACTTAATTAAGCAATAATTTATTTAATAAAGTTACATTTTTTTAAATGTTTTGCTGTATATCTTACAATTTAGGGTTTGAATAGGCATACGTAACACCCGTCCAGAAATTCGTTACTTATTACTAGTATTGTAAATATCCTTGGAAAGCGAATATCTTCAGAGAGTTAAATTTACCATTTAAGAGGCTTATCTTCCTGTATACGATTTTAATGTCACATAAAAAAGACTCGAAAAAAGAAGAGTCATATAGCAATGAACACTAAAAAAATGTTTTATGAGTTTTGTAATAACCTTGACATGACGCTTCGCTAGAGAATATTTTTTCCTTATCTCTATTCCTAGTCATATTATAAAGAATAATTAGGAATCAGCCTACAGTTGACCTAAAAGTGAGACAAGTCCTCTAATCGATCAACATTTCTTTGAAGGCTAGAGGGAAAGAGAGAGTTAGAGAGGGTAAGCGAAAATAGACAAATAGAAGTGAGAAAGTTATATAAAAAAAGTATAACATCTACTACAATGAAATATTCGTAATAAAAATCTAAGAAAACATGTTATAAACAAAAGAAAATAAAGAACTTTATGACAATCATTTTCACTTTATAAAAGCATTCAACAATTTGAAACTTTAATAAATTAAAATATTGTCATGTAAGCAATATTAAATTTGTAATAGAATCTACATCTTGACAGCTTTTTTCTAATTTGATTAAGATATGAACTTTTTAGGCAAAAAAGAAAATTTTGTGAGATCAATTACCAAAAGGGAATAGACGGATATATTGAATTATTTTTGAATAGTAATACTAGATTTTACATATTAATTTTTTACCTTATCTAATAAAGTTTTTATTTGATACCTTAAAAGAATTTTAAGCAAAGAATAAAGGAACAAGGAAGACTGTAGTGCAAATATTTGAGATTATTAATTTAATAAGAATAGATACAAACTTTGGTATATTATTTCAAAAGTGATACATATCTGTATTTTATACCTTTTATACTCATTTATAATATATACGTATAGTGTTGAAAAAGTCAAATACTAAATAGCTGTTTTATCAATTTATGCTTGGAATAAAGGATCACTTCTTCTTTTAAACTGCTTTCTTTCTACCAGTGTCCGAATGAATCGTTCATTTGGATATATTCGTATATAAGTTTGTGAAGCAGAGCGTATTGTTCCTGAAAATGAGTGAAATACAGGTATATTTCAATATTTTTCATAATTTAACTATTCCTCCTTATTGGTTCCACTTAGATTAGTCAATGTTTGACTTGATTGTAGATTAAAAGTTAGTAGAATTAGTAAAGAAATCAAATATAATTTTATTATTAGTGAACCTACAGCTGTTATAAATTCTGGACGGCTTAGACGTATCTTCTTAATAATGCTGAACACGTCCACTCGTTTTTCATTCTCAATGATATCGCACACCATACAGAAGGCTATGTAAAGGCCGGTTATGTCTGCTCCATTTCTGTTGTAAAACCATAAAATTGTTTCGTTTAAAACATAAAGTTTTATGTTTATTTAGAATATATTATAATACTACAAACGTGCAATGAACAATAATTGGTCTAGGACCTAATTCATCATTCAAACCATCTTTCGTAATAAATTCCTTGACTTTAGCAAAAATTCGAACTAATAGGAAAGGTTCTTTATCATTCCGGACATCGAGCAATTCCAAATGATGAGTTGTAATACTGTCTGATGAATCCTGATAAATTAAAGTAGTTCAAACATTTTCGTTTTATACCATCCATAGAAAATAATTAATAATCGTACGTGTTAATTATAGAAAATAGAGGTACTCTTACGTCATATGCTTACGATAAAAGGTAAAAATAGAAAGTAATATACTGTATAAACAAGTAATATTTTAATAATAATTACATTTGAACTTTCAATTAGAACATGTCTGGAGATAAAAGAACTTTTATCCTGAACTCCTAGACATTTTATTGAAAATGGAGGATGAGTTACAGCGTAATTCAATGGTGGCCAATATCCTTCTTCATTTTCCTCAATTGAATTAAGCATAATAATATGAGAAGCGTTGTAATCATATACTAGACGCCAAAGGTCTTTTTCTGTATATTTATTTGGCATTTGAGTTGCAATGTATAAAGTATCAATACAAGTTTGCTGTGTGGGATTGATATAATTTCGTTAATACGAATGTTATAAATATTCCAAATATTTTCATACCGGGATCAGTACAGCATTTATATAGCTTCCAAAACTAGCTGCTGCTGTTGTAAGAGTAGCTCTATAGCTCGTTACTAAAAAATTAGATAAAAACCAAAAATAAATATAGCAAATCAGAGTTCATAAATTTAAATAATTAACGAAGGGCTAATTAATTACCAGGCAGAATGTTTGGATTGTTGTTTTTTATTGTATTTTCTTCTGCGGTAGCAACTCCGTAATCTTCTTCAGTGTAAACTGGCTTTAAGGCATTCAACACCTGCGGAAGACGCAAAGAAAAATAGATTGTTTGCAACATCTCTTTTCCGTTTTTTTTCTTTCAATTACTGTGCATATTTTGTTACCCAAGCCTTCTTAAAAGAAAATAAATAAATAGAATATATATACAACGTTGCACAGGTAAAGAAATAGTGAAATAAAAGCATAATACGTATATATATATATATATATAAATATATATAGCTGTATCATATAGTGTATATATCTACTTCTTCAAAGGTTATACTGTTTATGAATATAAATAGAGATAAAAGTAAAATTTCCTGTGACTACAAGCGATTTATAATGAATAAAATAGCACAATTTTTTACTAAAAACTTACATTATACTGATATAAAAGGCTCGATTTCAGTTTCTTTAGATTCTTTGGAATGATTTTTGGAGCAATCTCGAGAAATTCGTCAATTTCGAATGAAACTTTACTCTCCTTATAACAAAGCGCTTCAAGAAGTGTTTTATAAATGAAAATATATTGATCCTGCCCATGGATACAAGTAAAAAAGTAAGTCTTATGCATTGTTTCTTGTCGAATGCTTTTATCTGTTTCTTAGCTAAAAGAAATGAAATTACTTACCAATGTTTGCACCATATTGACACGATTTTTTCTCATTTCCGTAACGAATTTTAAAACGTCCACCTTATTCTCCATATTAGCTTGTTTTAGTAAGCTATCAATAGCTATAAATGTTCCAGATCTTCCGATTCCGGCACTACCAAATAATGGTTACTTAATAATATTATTAAATCTTATATTTATGCTTTATAATTCTTTCATTCCCTTTTTCATTTTTCGTCATATTTTTTATAAAATTTTCCTACGTATTTGACTAACAAAGCGTTTGATATTTTAAAACGGATAGACATATTGTTTAATTGGCTAATAATAAGAAATTTATCCAACATAAACATACAGAGAGAGAACGTTAAGATAAAGGAGAATATAAATGAAATATATTCAGTTGCTGTTGGAAGAATCTCTTACTGTGTCTTTGATGATTGAATTCAGTGATGCTTAACAGACTTACATGAATTAATGTAATTTTTCAATCAATATTCGTTATTAAAAGAGGATATTGTTAAAGGAGGAAATTGTTAACCATTCTTGATTAGAAAGCGATAGTAGTACGGAAATCACTTATACGATGTTAAGGGAACAGTTTTATAATAAATGTCCTTATATTCAAAGTGCTCGTTTTACCTGCAGTGAACCAAAACTGGGGCAGTATCTGTTGGTAGCCAAGAATTAACAGCCATACTAATTTGAAGAAGGCCTTCTCCAGAAACTGGAACTCCATGATCTGGCCAAGCAACATAGTGAAATTGCCGAACAGCTCGACTTTCATGGCCCTGCAGTTCATTAGTAAATGTTAATTTAACTTCCTACTACTATTGACGGACTAGGCTTAAAGACACCTTCGTGACGTGAAAAATCCGGAAGATGCTAACGGCATTCCTTTCTTCTTGGTGTAACATAATCGACATATCTCCAAATAGTTTAAAATTACTATCTGGCCAGTAACAAGCACATTTTTCCTAGTATTTTGCATTAAAAAATGTGTGATTTTGTTCATATATGAATGAATAATAATTGTTTTACCCGTCCATTTTCAATTTCATTGGCTACCATTACAATCTTACAAATTTTATGATCCCATATCATAGACCAGAAATCGTTCAGAGTAACTTTCGTGGGCCCCTGACTTGATATATATTCTCTTTCTTTCTTATAACCCTGATTTATAATTTAATTTCTTTTAATCTGTATAGATTGATTCTTTCCATACTTACATTAATAAAGGACGCATTTATGTAATCATTAAATGAATTGTTAAGTGTAACTCGACTGTGGTCATCTATTATGCGAATAAACGGTACAATATTCAATAATTCATTTGAAGAATTTCATTAAATCTTACAAGGGAGAACATTTATAAATCTATTTTTAGGTTTGTTTTCGGGCAGTTGAGAAATCTGCCATTCATTTGTTTTCCCATCCGGAAGCAGCTGAAGAAAAAAAAATGTCATTTGAATTCTTAAACAATCAATTTATAAGAAATAAACATTTACCTTAAATTCATCAGCAAATAATGCTGCATTATTCTTTATACCATCCTGAATATGGGTCAGCAAATTAATTGTCTTGATTGGCTTAGAAAGTGATTTTGACAAGGATTTTTCTGAACTTTTATTATCAGTATCTGAAACAAATTTGCAGTTTTATATATATATAAAAGTGTGTATAATTGTGCATAAATTAGTATATAAAGTGATATCAATTTGTATAAATATTTATAACATTAAGATAATAAGTTATATTAAACGATTCAGTATGTAAACAAGATACATTGCAATTATATTTCGATTGAAAACAAACCAGTTTTCGCAGTTACTTCTTTAGAGGGTTCAACAGCAACTTCTACATTGTCGGGAGTTTGATCTTCGCTATCTTTGAATACATCCGATTTCACTTTTTTCGGCGATTTATCTCCAGTGCTATAGAACCTTTTTTACAAAACAATAAACTATATAACAAAGAATTTGATCTTCAATAAAAAAGTGTTTGACAAACCTTCTATAACATAAAAATGCTATAAAGGCTCCAGCAATTATTAAAACTAAAAGAGCAGCTAATACTGGAGCAATAATCATAACAAATTCGTTTAGCGAATTGAATTTAATGCCCTCTGCAATATACATAAAATTTAATCAAATCATGTTGATAGAATTAGGCCTATTCGCTTACTTTTAACTTCACAGTGTTTGCCTTTAAATCCTTCAAAACAACTACAATGAAATCCCTCTTTAACTACAGAGCAATTACCATTTAGACACGGATTGCGAACGCAAGCGTCTAATTCTGAAAAAATATAATTATACAAGATAAAATTTTAGTAAAAGAAAACTTTTTACTTATATCACAAAATGATCCACCATAAGTATTGTTGCAATCGCACTTAAAATGAGGAGTTAAAGTAAAATTTAAGTAGCAATTTATGCTATTTTCACATCTGCTGCATGGATCGTCCACTTGATTGATAAAATGTTTTTTGAAGAGAATGAAAAATAGAAAATATATTATAAATATTGAATCTTATTAAATAGTTAATATAAATCTATCGATCTTGAATAGAATAGAATTACGTCAAGCTAAATAATAAAAGAATTGCATGATAAATAAAACAAAAAACTTCCTGTTTATTATTGTTTTGTATAAAGCTTGAGACAGTTTAATATTAGTACAGTATCTTTAAAACTAAGGAAGTAGGTCCGATGGACAAAAATATCAAAGATAAATGGCAAATAATTACAACTGAGTACATAAGATTGTTGAATAAAGGCGAGGAACAACGAGTACTTATAATAGATGGTAAAATGCAATCAATAGTTATTTGGCTTAACATAAATGACTTTGACTTATAAGCTAAAAAAGGTAACAAGAGATTAATAAGAAATAAATCTACCTTATAGTAGTGTACATACTGTACAGCATATATAAATATATAAGATTTATACTATATATATACAGTATATACTACTATATAACTATTCTTACCCGTTTCACATGAAACTCCGGAAGAGTATTGTTTGCAATCACATTCGAAATTACTGAAATGATTTATACATTTTGCGTTATTTTTGCAAGGATTAGATTTGCAAGCATCTTTTATTGGAATCTCTGTAAATAAATATATCATTAAGATTATAAATAATCCTGTAATTGATAGTAACTTTTTTCGCAAAATTCGCCACTATATCCACTCTCGCAGATGCACTTTTTTACATTTCCAACAACTTCACAATGACCTCGATCGGTACAATTATTTTTTGCACATTCTAATTCTATATTTAAAATTTAGGCATTTACTTAGTTCAATAATAGATAGTTTAGTTAATAATTAGTATTAACACTAATATTGAATATTGAATTATCTTTACCTATTTCACAGTTTTTTCCTTCATAGTAATTTGGAGGATTACAAATACACACGTAATCCTGATTGGATTGTGCTGTAAAACATCTTCCATTGTTCTGACAAGGATTTGAACCGCATGGGTCACCGTCTATGTTAGAACATTTGTTTAAATGTGTAATTTGTTTAAAGATAAGTACAGTATAAATACATACTGTACTTGAATTCTTATATATTACATTATTTATATACAGTATATATATATTAGGATATATATTATTTTGGGTATATACTTACTTATAGTCGTAAAAAGGTGAAGGAAAATCATAAAAGTGAGTAAAGTCAGCATTTTTGTCTTTTTTCACAAAACTTCTCTCTTTTCACTTACTGCATACCTGCATATGTCTTTTATGCCCTATCCTCCTGCTTTAATATTATCCTTTTATCGATAGATTTGCGAAGACCTATTCATATAACATATTGATTATCTACGTTGTGTATATTACTAAAGTTGGCCAGGTACTATCCTAGGAGAAAACTAGCATAGACGTCTATTGAATTTGGCCAATTGAAAGATATATAGGCATGGAAATACATGTACATTTTTACCGTTAGCTTATTTTTGAAAAGCTTTCTATTCTTAAAAAAAACTGTTGAGTGAAAAGTTTAAGATCGTGTGATAAAGCATGTTGCAGTTATTAGTTAATATTTAGTCGAGTATTCCGGATATGTATTTATGAATAAGGAGAAAAAGACGACAGTATCGGAAATTACAAGGATTAAAGATAGAATATGTACAAAGGATTGCAATCTTTCACTGCTCATCGTTATAGAAAAGTTGAATTGGAGGGACAAGTGCCAAGAAAGGGGATACGAACTATAGCGAACACCTTATTACCTAGCTAATGTAACGCTTAAAATCATTACAAAGTTATTACGTGATTACGTGTCGTTTTCTACAATGTATTACCCTATGGTTAAGTAAAACGAAATATTTAAAAAAAATATCTTTATAATAGGTAAATTGGTAAAAACAACAGTTCTAAATGACAATCTATACGAAGGGTATGAACTGTTATTATATTTTTGGTGCAATAGGGGAAAATTATTAAAATATAATGTTGTATCTAATATATAGTATATCTCACGTTAAGTTCATATATCATATTATAGGTTAATAGGATCTATCCTGAAAATAGAGAAAATATAACAAACCTTTTGTTCTTACTCTAATGGATTGTAGTTATTTATAAATAGAAGAACAACTCTCTTCTTAAATCTTTTTACTCTTTAATTAAATAAGAAAGAGCACGCTCTTTAATTTTTCCTTTACGCCATACTAATAATCCTTCAACGCAATTCTCAAAACACGATTCAAAAAGGTTTTTGTACTACACGGAATAAGTTATAAGGGGTAAACTAAAAACATACATTGTAGGCCTACTATTATCACGAAATTTTTCTTTTCGTAATATAAATAATACATGATTAACAAAGCGTAAAAAGTGAAATATACGGCGCAATTAGCGATTTCTTTCTTCTTTTTTCGAATCTAACATATTTAAGATAAGCAAGAAGTACTAAATTAGATTATGTTAATTCGCTTTCATTCTTTGTTTAAATCTATTGGATGACCACAAGTGAATCTATCAACTGAAAATTTTGTATACATATATACAGCACATCAGAAAAGAAAAGAGTTGATGCAAAATTATAAGAAATTATCAAAGCCTCAAAGATTTTATAAGATAAACAACCTACACAGTGAAATAAGTAAGCTTAGCCCCTTCAATTTTAGATCAGTATGACAATATTAAAACAAGAGAATTTAATAAATGAGTTTTTTAGTATTACGTGTCTTCTATATCTTGTTGTTTTTATTGTTTATTAAGGAAATAATAAGATCAGTTTTCAATTTTTAACTAAAAACTTTTAAAAGAGAAAAAAAAATTAGCATCAAACTTAATTAAATTCTTTTTTTTTATCATTGTTGAATTTTATTGAGAATTTAAGGAGACAGCAATATATACAAGTATAACACTTTTACTTTACACTAGAGATGAGCGCTGATTGCAGACCATAAGCTAACTAAAAATCAGTCTTTCACTCCTAAACACGTAATCATTGCGATAAATAATAGTTATAATAAAGGTATTTTCGGCATGGATGGAATTCTTCGCCGACAGCGTTGCCGCGCTAAGGCAGTCAATCAGCGCAGCTTTACATATAGGTTTAATTTTGTGACCAACTGCATACATTTAAGTCACATGACTTGGAAAGTTTAGTCGGGATTGGAATAAATATCCTTCATTTCCTTGTTCTTACTCTGCATAAAATTCATGCTCACTCATTACCTTTATCTATTTAACTGTAGATAAAAATTGAACATTCCTTTCGATATATCAAATTTAACTATTAGAATCTTTAGATAATTAAAAGAAGGATGGAATATAAAATTAGCTAAAAGAATCGCGGAATAACGAGTGGAACTGAGGCTATAATTTGTATGCATGGCTTAAAGAGCCACCTAGTCTGCAAGAGGTGGATTCTTGCAGTAAACTTCGAAACTTCCATCTAAGCGTTACTCTAATACCTTTGCTTAATTTTATCCAGTGATATACATTTTAAGCGAGATTGATTTAAAGAAAATTTATTTGGTGGATTCTCTCTTTCTCTCTTTACTCTCTCTTTTAAAGTCTCTCGTCTCGTGCTGTTTTTCTTTCTCATCACTACTATTTATTGATATTTCTACATTTACTGGAATTTATTTTGTAAACCGAAAACTATTCTTGAAGTAAGTTGAAGAAAAGATAAATAGCAAACAGATCTTTCAAAAGAAAACCAGGAAATTATATTAAAAAATTCTAGAGTAATCGAATGTAACAGTTACGAAAAAAAGAAATTTTATAGTGAAGATAGTGAAGAAACGTCAGAAGCAATTATATAATGGTTCAGAATTATAGTATATGCACGAACCAGAGCTTTCCGTACACGGATTTTACTCAGGAGCAGAGCATAAGAATCTTCTTAGTGTGTTTATATGTACTTATATGTATTTTAACGGCTATTGGAAATTCTATAATAATTATATCGATATGGCGCCAGATACGATGCGCCTGCGACATTTATATCTTCAATCTGGCAGTACAAGACGCTTTAATTGGAATAGTCGTAATGCCTTTTAAATTAGTAGAATATACTGCAGATTGCTCAACTTTTACCGTTGAATTATTATCGGACGTTCTTTGTGGTGTTCTTTCATATCTGCAGCCTTCGTTAGTATTTTCTTCCATCTTTACACTTGCAGCTATTTCATTAGAGAGGTATACAAACAGATATTAATACTAACAGAGTTCCTGTTTAAAGATGCTGTTTTCAGATACGCCGCCATTGTTCATCCACTTTCAACAATTACTCAGTCAAAGTTATCAAGAGCCAAAAAAGTGATTGCAGTCACATGGATATTTCCTCTTTTATTAACGACGCCTTATTTAATGGCCACGACACAGTCTTTTGAACTCAGTTCTAATTATGGAAAGATTAGTAGAAGAATTTGTTCTCCTAATTTTGATATATTAGACAATTGGTTGGGTTATCAAACCGGTTTCAGACTGATATATTTTATTCTCCTATTTGTTAGCGTCTACCTAATACCCACATTTATTATCTTAATAACCTGCATAGCTATAGTGATAAAACTAAGAAGAACGCCTATAAATGCTGGAAGTGTTGGTTTAGGTCGTCGAAAAGCAGCTAGGATGATTGTTGTTATATCTTTCGCCTTTACGATTGCCTGGGCTCCTCACTTTGGAATTTCCTTGGAAGAGGTTATAAGGATGAACGACAGTTTTCTTAGGAAAAGTCAATATATTTTCGTCATGCTGCTAACTCACTTGTGCGCATTTGTGCATTCAGCTATCAACCCTATAATCTATGTATGTATGAGCAAGCGAATGAAGTCCTTGGTGAAGAGTTTATTCATCAAGAACCAATATACATTAGCTTGTCGTCATAGTACACCCACAAGATTAACAAAGGATACTGCTCTATAAGAATAAATATAAAAGAAAACAGTAAAGGTTCAATATTCAAATTAACAGAAAGACCATATATTTATTTCAGGTTTATTACTTTTATACAAATATATTTTACATATAACAGTAAAACATTAAAAAATGCTTATTTTCTCTTTTTTTTTATCTTGAATATTTTAAAATAATTTAAATTATATTGAATTTCAATATTCAGAGACGAAATAACTTTGTGTTTTAACCAAGAATATGTTCTTCCTGCTTTGGTAATTTCATTTTAGATAGATAGTAGAGAGGTTTAAGATATTACCTCTCCATCTGGATAGCATTATAGGATATTCAATTATTTTATAATTAATTAATTTTTACTAGTCTCATCAGCTAATTGGGCAGGTTAATTATTCTAGAAATTTGTTATAATTCTATAATAAAGAAGTAAATTGCTCTTGGAAACTTTCGTTCGTCTTTTTGAGTAAAATTATCAAAGAGCAGCAAAATACCATCCTTGTAAACTACAAAAGATAGGAAAAATATACATCCAACTACAGAGAGATAGAAGGTACCCATTCTTAAATATTTCATAAATATGTTATCTACTAACAAACTATACATTATTATACATGTACAGTATGTATCATGCTCCAAAAACATTTATGCCAGCAAAAGTATGTCTATTTATTCATTTTTGTGATAATTGCTTCCTTCACTATAAGGTACTATTGTTATTAATGTTATACAAAGCTTTTGTACTATTTTATCAATAATTATTCCATGAAATTCTTTTCATTATAAAAGTTGAATGACCTTGTTCTAAATATGGATGTATTATTACTTAAGAAGAACCACAAACAAAAAAATTCAAAAGAAAACCTCGTTAACGTAGAACGGCAAATTTGAGATTTTATTGTATTTTCTATAATTCCCTAAATGCATTAATTTGAAGAAAAACTAAATGATCACTCTTTTTATCTGAATGATAATAATAACAGTCTCATTTTTTTCTAAATAGTTAAATAAGAAAAATCTAACATTTAATTGTTTTGCGCACGCTATCAGAGAGAAGCATAATGATTTTACCAAATATGATAACAAATGTATATATAGTTTAACAAATCTTACGAGAGTATTTTATAGGAACTGTACAATTGATGCTACGCTACTAATATATTCAATTTTTAGCAAATGTAATCACTCCCATATACAGTAATTTAATTAGTAATATATTGATTTCTCTAACCAATCTTGGATATACTGACAGTCGTATGCTATATTCTTTCAACTACTAGAGTTCAAGATGGAAAAATCTCTTATTTTCGAGATTTTTGGAAATGAATAAGATAATTAACAAAAATGCTCCTACTTTCTTATAGGATAAGTATGGTAGTATCAACTGTGTTTTGTTCAATTTTTTATTAACCAGCTACACCCAACATAAGGTAAATAGCAATGTAACATCAATTTGAAGCCATCTGTAGAGTTAAATATTAAAAATGTCAGTCTCTAGAAATCTCTTTATACGAACATTAGAGTTTTATTTCGACAATAGTAAATACAAACTTTATATGATATTTACAATTCTTTTTTTCTGGCCTAATTTCCGGAAAATCATGAAATCTGTCAGAAGATTTATTTATTCATTTAACTTCACTATTCCCTTAATAATTGATAATTGTAGAAAACAATTGAAAATTAATAATTCATTAAATTATTGTATGCTTTATGGTATAGCTTTACAAAAGTTTTCATTTCTTTAAGATGAATACAAAGAATATCAGAATATTCATTTCATCTAAATATTTTATACATTTATACATTAATTGCATAAATTTAATAATCCTGTTCAGAAATGCTAAGAATAACTTGACTAGTATTAATTGAAAGACTACTGGTTGGAATGAGCTGATAAGACGAATTTAATGAGTTTCAATTACTCTAGTGTAATGAAATAATGAAAATGATTAGTTGACTTGTGCTCTCGGTCAGCTATTATAATCTAAAGATAACTAACCTAATTTTTGCATACATTAAAATAGTTCATTCTTTAACTTATATTTCGTAGATTTACGTTAATATTTTATATATACTGTATATAAAGTCATAACTATATAGGAATGATAGCGTTTCTTTATTCATTAGTAATTTTATAGCAACCATACAGATACATACGTATGTTTTGTTATAGAAAAACACTAATTAATTTGAAATTAAAACTACTTCATACCAATTATAGTTTGTCCTAATTCTTCATAAAACTATAAAAAAAGTGTTTTCTTGAGTATTTCTATTTATAGCATTATAACAAAAAGCAATTTAATCTAATGTATTCTATAAAGAATATACAGTATATAGGGTTTATTTTTATCTTTATTTATCCTAAACATAAAAAACAATCAAATTATTAAAAAATACAGTAATCTATTAGAGATTTTTAGATAGTTTAACTCATGTAGAGAGAAGAGATTTTTCTAAACTATCTTCAAGATCTTACCTAATCAAAATCAAGTGGTTTTGTTGCCATATCGTATGAATTAATGTCCTTTTACTATTATATATATCACTACCCCCTCCTCTTCCTCTTACGTTTGTTTACCTGTCTCACTTTCTTCTTCTCTCTCTCTCTCGCTCTCGTATTGTCTACTCAATGTATTGTATAGAACACAAGCTTAGTGTTATCATATTTTGTTTAAGAATATTGAAGACGATTAATATAAATATTATCCTTTTTTATTATAGAATCTTATATTAGAGAGAATCTTGATCGTGACTAGTCAAATTTTTAGACAAGATGTAATCTCCTATCTGTAAAAATATTGACAGAAATAAATTATCAGTATATCAGTTCTAAAGGATTTTTTATGTAACTTTGTAGTCTTTTCTTGTTTTTCATGCGTAACACTTTTAAGTTCTTGCGACTTTATTCTTTCTTTTCTGGTTTGACTTTTATTCCTATTTTAATTCCCTTCATTTCCTGCCCTTAATGGTTGTGAGAAAAAGAATGGAATAAACTGAGAATGTCTGTTCTAGCCTGGAATACGTTTGGTAATTGGTTAAATTTCTAACAGAATACGTGAGCGTAAGAAAGTAAAACTGTACACATTTTATGAATTTATGCGATATACTGATTAATTAGCTAGATAGCTAATGATAAAGATAAAGGTAAGATTTTATAGAAAACGAGTACTTTTTCTGTCTCTGTACCAAGGATACAAGTCTTGAAGTTTAAGTCACAATAGAATGGCAAGGAAGTCCTGTTGCTTCAAATCAAACATAGAATACCTTTGAATCCTTTTATGGGTGCATTTGTGTAAAAGAACCACTTCGAAAAATCATTTTTTGTTACTGTATGTTTGTAGCCTAATAGTATATTTTTGTCTATTTTAAAGTACACTTGTATGATAATATAAACTGCATAATATACAGTATATACAGTATATATAGATATACATGTATAAATATATGCAAAATATCGTACATGTCATTAAATTAGGTAGAGTATCATTTAATAATTTAATGTGCTTTCTGTTACAGCAAAATATTGTTTTCATTAAGCATGGTTCAATATAGGATAATGCTCATGGTTCAACAACTACTACTTATAATAGAATGTAATAAATTGACATTTATTATATTATTTATTCGCTATTTTTTCTCTTATTCTCTTTGATGTCATATGAAAAGAAAATAATTTGTGCACAATAGCAGGAATACAATATTAGAAGTTGGGTTTCTTCTTAAATTTCATATTCGCATACAAACATCTTAGGTTCATCTTCGCAGTCCAATGATCTCCATCTAAAACTATCATCTTTGTGCATCTGAAATATTAATTTACACATTTTATATAAAATTTAGCTATAAATATGTTATAGTTTTATTAAGCATACCTGAACACATTTTCCTGAAGAAGGTTCACTTGGACCCCAGTTGGCGTATGTGAATCTTCTGTTAGTTGCAGACCAAGACCATCCTTTTTTACTATCCAAATTATTTCCAGATGTCAAAAAACTATGACTTCTTAATTCTAAATATATATAAAGTTTGTAAATGATATTGATAGATTGAATATCTCTCTTACCTGAATTGTTTAAGATATGATTCTTCAGAAAGTCCTGCTCAGCTGAAGATTCAATGGCTGCAAGATGGCAATTATAACTTTTTGGAACTAAGGATGTACAATATTGATCAGCATCGAACCAAGTCAATCTGGATGTAATAAAGTAGTAACAGGAATTTGCAAATCGTACAAAGTTTTCTGGGCAGCTGCCACCTATTCGAATAAAAGAAAAAGTAAATATATCCATATACATATATACAATTCTGTATTAAATAGATTTGTTAACAAATATATATATAGTATATACTATATACAAGTGATCCAAATAGTTACAAAAAAAGAAGAGAGAACTAACTGATTTCAGTGCAGAGAAGAGAAAGCGTAAATAAAAGTAGTAGAGACTTCATAGTTCCGATATTTTTGTCAAATAAAAAAATGTATACTTCTTAGAGAACTTTATGGAAAGACACTAAAAATATAACGAAATAAAATAACACAGGCTACTTCTATTCGACTTTTATGGTGTCTAATTTCTCAAGCAATATGTTATTTCACATATGATATAGAGACTTACTCATTAATTCTTACTGAGTCAACTATTTTTCATATTTTTTTTTTGATAAAAAAGAACGATTCATTGTGTCACGTGCACATTAAGATTCCCTCTCTCCCTCCCTCTCTCTCTCTTTTATTGTGTTTTCCTCTTTTTCCCTTTCTATCTATCTTTATAAGTCTTTCACTAGAATTTATCATTATATCTTTACTTTTATTAGCATTGTTTAATAAATGCAAAATAGTTAAGAAAAGGAAAAATATTAAACGCATAGTTGAAAAAAGCGTCTAAAATATTTATTTGTTTTGTTTTTATTTTATTTTCTTCTTAATGTAAGGTGTAGATTAATATTTCATAATAAACACAGCTTATATCATACAATTACAGACGATTCCTTTTTGCCAAAGGTTGAGAATGATTTATTATTTATCGTAACACTTCATTGACATACTGTATTCAGTTTATATATATATATATTAGTATATAAATGTATATATATTATATAAGGACAACGAAGATAAATCTTTAGCACATATTTTTTATACAGAAAATGGCTAACTATCTCGTGTACGTGTTATTATTTTATTGGAAAAATATCTTTTTTTTTTAGTAATCCTCCTAAGGGAATATTATGCGCTTTTTTACTTTTTCAGCTTCACCAATCAGGTCTATGATTACATGATAAAATCAAAACGCTCCAGCTTTTTGCATTAGGGGAAAAAATGCAACAATGTAAAAAAAAAAATCTATCTTTCGTTATAAGACAAATGTAAAGTTGATTGCTGTTATCTATACAAAACAATAATTTGATATATATATTGAAATGTAAAAATAGATTATTATTACAATATTTATCCTATAAATATGATATTTTCTTTCTCTTTAAGAGAAAGACATTTTTTTCATTCTCTTCTATATCTTCTTTCAACTTTTTCACGTATATACATGTATAATATGAATCTAAGCCTATTATTCGTCAATAATAGCTTAGACTTTCTATTTAGAGAGAAGTATATAGTGTCTTGAAAACTATTGTAACTATTTATTAGATAATAATAACAATCTAATTAAAGAATTGTTCAAAGGAGAGACTTCTTTTAAATATAAGTAAACAAGATATGTTAAACATTTTAGAAGAAGGTAATGTTAAACAATATTCTAGCAGAAAAGAGGTAAACAGCTATAACATTCTTCCTTTTATCTTACTCCTTTTAAATTTTATATCGAATAAATGTATTATAAACAGAAAAAAATCCCTTCCACTTCTTAGTAATGAACTTAAGTATCTATAATTTCGTTGTTTAGTAAGACTACACTAAGCAAGAAAGAAATATCTGAAATAATTTGAATTTTTTTTTGGGATGAAGGTAAGGGTAGCGGAGGATTAGCTTAACAGCCGGTTAGCGATATGCTTAGATTAAATTTTAAATCAATCTTTCCCAGTGTTCTGCTTCCTTCTTTCTTCTTCTAAACTTTTGCGTAAGAGTTCTTTTTTTTCATTTAAAAGTGGAAATATAATACAAATTATATAATATACTTTCTAATTGAAACTGAATATTTATTAAAGAAAATATTTAGAGCATAAAAAATATGCATTTACTTTTCCAAGTAGTTCCCCACTGTCGTTCGACTGAAAAAATAAGGTAGAACAAACATCCAAGCAACGTAATAGAGATTAGAAGCAGGGACAGTTGGAAAAAAAATAGATAGAACATTTATTAAACTAGTACAAGACCATTTTTTTCTAGCACCAGCGATTTTTTTATTATCTATTTTTATATAAAGGAAAGGATGTACATATTGCGATAACAAATTTTATTAATTATTTCTTATTATATTTTCACACGGTATACGAGAATAATCAGTTTTGTTCTCTCTCTATACGGTTATTTTTTTCTCTTTTTTTTTTTGATTACTAGTACTTAATCAAGTTTATCTCACCAAGTAATTAATAGGATTTGAGATGTTTTTCTTCTTTTTTGCTCAAAAAAAATTATACAGTGAGTTTTTTTCCTTATGATAATCAATTTTTTCTTTCTCTTAATAATTAGTTAAAGAAAAATGTAAATATATTATGGAAATACATTTTTATGAATAAATTATATAACAATTACAAATACATTTAAAGAAAATTAAGAAAAATAATCATAATTATATTCATTTATGATTATGAAACGGATATATAATATTTAAAAATGTTTGCACTGCTATGAGACGGAAACTTTAGAGAAGACAGTCAAGTTTTTCCTCCCTTTAAAAATTCTTCACAGTTGTTGTTTTGATTTATAAAAAACAGTATTATACTTTAGTTATACTGTATATTGTAAAATGGATTTTATAGATACAGTATACATAATGTATAACTTACTATCTTATTTTACTATATTTTACTACTCTTTATATTCTTGCTATATCTGCTGCCTTAGAGCGTAAAGTTGAATCCAGTTCAAAATATGTGGGTCGACCTTCGTCTTTGTGGGGATTATGCGGACTCTCGTAGATGTGCTCTGGTTTATATGTACCGTATGGGCGGCGAGAGTATTGTGTACAAATTTCACATGTTTTTGTATTCGCGTTATAAGGCGGCTCGTGAGTGACATCTGTAAAAGAGTGTTTGTCTTGAGCGTTTCCTGTATGTAGAGTTTGCACCAGTTGTCGCTTTAAATATTGGTTTCTTTGCCTGTCATAATAAACAGATACATTTCGGGTCTGCAACATATTTTAATTGGAAATAAAGTGACCAACCATCTGAGAATATAGACCCCAAAAGTCATTATTGCCACACTCAGAATGACTGCTACTCCGAGTATTATCGCAATCCATATACCAGATGGAATTGATTCGAATAGTCCAGTGGCGGCAGCAGCTGTAAAACATGAGAGCAGAAATAAATAAAAGATGGCGCACAGAGTCGTATAAATTTATATAGGAAGAAAATAGTAAAGTTCATTAATATACTTGATAAACTTACAATTAAAGATCGATTTAAGTATATATTTTAAAAAAGTACTGATAGCTATTATTAACAGTTTTTTTTTTGCTGTACTAATGTTGATAAAACTGTTTAATTGATATTTTATCAGCACTGATAATCGACAGATGGCACTATTTTTTATTTCTTTTTTTTTGCGGTTGATTTCCTTAAGAGATGTTTAGAGATTTCGCAATTGGGAATTGTCGGATTCGTTTAAGCTGAATGATGCATATGTTTTGACTTACTTTCACTACAATTACCGGACCTTCCAAACCACTTGTTATTATCACAAGTTAGAGACCATTCCTCTTCAGATTGCAAGCAAATAATCTTGGCAATTCGACCTGTTACTTCTACCCTTTGCTTTCTTCGATCGAATTTTGGCAGAGGACAACCAACAACTATTGTAATAAAAAATTATTGTTAAAAAACAAAAGAGATACTATTGACAATTGTATCCAGTTAAATATAGAAATGCCTAGATATGCAAATAGATACTTTTAGAGGTAATGTTAACAACCCTAAGCGTTTCTCAACTTTTGAATATTTAATAGGTTAGAGACGGTATTGACGCTGAACGATGTCCCAATTACTGATTGATTATTCACATCTAGATTTAATAAAGTAACAACTAGTAGACTATTTTTTCAAGTACTTTAAGCAAATAAATAGAAAATAGAAAATTAAAGTAAAGCACTGGGCAATTATAATAAATAATAATTATTTCCCTTATTCCTTTAATTCTTAAAAATGAAACTTCTTAAGGATTTTTAAATAGAGAAGACTATAAAAGTAGTATCTATATCTTATCATGTTGTCCTTTTTATATACTGTATATATATACTGTATATAATATTTTAGACTATCTTACTTTTTTTAACATGCTCTTATTTAGATATTAACAAAACCAATTAAATCCTCATATTCGTTTCGTTTATGATAAATTATTTGGCCAATTCCTAATACTCTAAAAGGAATTCAAAGTACCTCGAATAATAAATCAAACTAATTAAGTTCAATTAAGCGTTTATTGAGTATCTCTTGCGAATTATGTTATCAAATCTCTTCTAAAAGAGAAAATAAAAAAAAAGAATAACCAAAGAATTGACTAGATTTATACCTTATTTATGCAATTTTTTGTATAAGAAAGAGGCATCAAGATAGAGTGCTTTTTTTATTCTCTACTTATCTTAAATGATTAATTAAGTTTCATTTTTGTATTGATTGATTAAAGACCTCTTCATAAATGGATAAGATGAAAGACAAAGATGTAAAAGGGAAAAGAAAATCTAGGGGGAATATTTTAGTCTATGCTTAAAAACAAACCTTGATATTCCAATAAAAATGTGTGATCTTTCCTATATAGTAAATATATTTCAACTTGGTTAGCGTCGAATAAGCCAATATTGACAGTTCGCTGATCATAGCGATTGCAAATTTGTTGTTCATTCATTTCTTTAGAGTCTAAGACTTTGTATTTTCCGTAAGGTTTTGAACATGGTTGGATTGAATCCTTTTTTGTAAAATCCCACAATGTTAGATTAATTTTTTGTCCCTCTTCTCCCATTATTCTTATAGCTCTAGATTTTTGACCGTCAGAGCATTTTCCCGTTTCTTTCAGCCATTCGCTAGCAATAACCCCGTATAAACTTTTAATTTCAATTGAGTCACTATAAATGTCGCATAATGTTTTAATTTGAAACTGTAAATCGAGAGGATCTGTGTAGAACAAAAACGTCTAATTAATGTAGAATTTGAATGAGGGCGTCTACTCAACACGCCCACAATGTAAGTGTTGATGCATCAAAAAGCAAATAAGATGTAATTTCTTAACTTTACCTCGAATACAATTATATTTTGCGGTTAGAGCATTACGAAATCCCCCCTCACCGCAATAGTTCTTAAAGTGACTAGCCAAATTAGGTATTTCACATTTTCTCCTTCCAGAACATTTGTTATCCAACGGCTTTAGAACATCTTCTTTACAGTGATCGGCTTTCGTTTCACATCTATTGGGATGTAAACTTCTACCATATGTGGCAGAAGTCAAGACTGCCAGACCATCATGACCACAATTCAACTTAAAGGGTTCCGTGTCGCATGTAAGATTTTCTACCAGAGGTTCTGAAAATAAAGATAACATATTTGAGTTTATTATATACACAAAAGATATGGTGAGGCATGGTTTGGTTTATAGTACTGTATATTTATATTCCTTGAATAGATTATACAATGTTACAAATGGTTAGCGGGCTTGTTTAACACTAGAGGAAAAGATTATCTGTCCTTGGCTATACGGTTGCAAACTTGGTAATTATAAGCCTGTCTGTCGTGCTTATTTTCCCTTCGGATAAGACACTAGAGATTATCCTTGGCAATTCATCGCTTAAGGATTTCTTTCCTACCTACTCGTTAAATAAGAAGCACGAAGATAAAGTATTCATTGTAAATATGCTTTGATCAAGACAGCTGCAAAAGTTATAAGTACTCTCACGACTCACAATAAAAAGTATTGGAGTATTGAAGGGTAAAGGGGCGACGTAGTGACATACATACACACACACACACACACACACACACATACACAGGGAAAAAGAGGTTGTGGAAGTATCTGTGATTTCTCCCTAACAAGAGGACGTCAGGCAGCAACTGATATGTGGCTGCTCGATCATGTATATAGTATCACAATCCAATTACTAGTCCTTAACAATGACACGATTCGATAAAAGTTAATTAGAGGAATATACAGTTGCTTAGGATGGATAAATCGTTGCTCTCTTTATCCGTTCCCTTACAGCCCTTTAAATTTTTCTATCTACTTCCCCTACTGACTACTTGCCAAGAAACATCCTTAAATTTACGCCATTCTTCCCCTTATTAGGGTAAAAAATTTATATGTCGCCTAATTGAAGAGGCGTTGAATTTTTTTGAGGAGCATTTCCTTAGGCCTACTTAAAACAAACTCTTCCCTTTCTTTGCTCCAATATAAATTTGCTTGGATTAATAAATTAGGCAAGTAATATAAGGGAAAGGGAAACGAGGTTACAAGAGAGCGAGGGAAGGGGTTTATTTTACGATTAATAATCCATTCATGACCGGTCATGCGTATATTAAATTACGCACTATCCCTCGCATATTGATAATGTATTTATAACCCTTTTCTTATACCTCTATTTCTTATTAAATTATATTTATTCATTTGAAATCTTCTACTCGATGCAGAACTAGAGAAATGGAGAATAAACGGTGGCGACATCTAACTTTAAAGGATCAATCGTTTCGGAAGTCAAAGGTCTTCTCTTTATTGGCTAAGATTAATTGGGCGAAAATTGAAGGCTTCGGCTACTATCCGAAAAATGACTATAGGCATATATCATCATCTCTTAAACTCTCCATTTGTTCCATATCATAAAATATATATATTCATATACAAGTTTAAATATATTACGTATTGCGGTGTTTACCGTATTTTTAAGCACATATTTATTATTTACTTTTTTTCTGACCTATTAAATATAGGATATTTCCCTGAATATTAATATTTAAATTAGGTAAAGGATATCTACATAAAAGATAATATATATATATATCATATACAATGATTATGGAAATCTCATACATAAAGTCACAAGTAAAATTAGGAGTGTTGACTAATTCTCTAGTCAGAATACTCTAACCTTGACCCTACAACATCATATCAACATTCGCATGAGGGGAGGAGATTTTGGCTGGCAGGGTCAAAGGTGGCAACAAGGGTTTTTTTTCCACCTCGTCTACAAAAAACTGTAGTGAAACATGATTTACGTCGACTTTTTACCCGCATAAGCTGGTTTTTGAGGCGTTAATCCTCTTCCAAATTTGCAGGACTATTAGAGGAAAAAGCGATTAAGAGAAGGAAGGAGAGAGTTTATAAGCACGTGTGTTTATACGTATTTGAACGTGTGCGTGTGCTTATATGTGTCAAGCATACACTCTTGGAGAAAGAAAAGATGGGTACAAAGAAGAAAATTTTGTTCTCTGTCTTGACATTTCTTTTTCTATGTTATATTGCAAAGGAAGCAGAGAGGAGGAAAGAGATATTTTATCCTTCAATGAAAAATCCGTTATCGACAAACCGCACTCGCTTACCGAAGATCGTCAAAAAAAAAGAAACGCCTCTCTGGTACAGATGTTTTTTTTTTAACTCCTTCTTCTTGCTAATTGGAGTGAAACGAACTGCTTTTATCTTCTTCAATCTGCTAATTAACAATCTCCCAAGACGAAACTTTGGTGTAGTCGAATTACTAATTCCATATAGGACAAAAATTTTTCGTTATAGGCCTACAACAGCGACGTATTAAGCATCTCACGTTTACATGTAATCAGTTGGAAGCGGGCTTTCTAGATTAGATTTTTCTTACCGCCATCTTTCATTCTAAGCTTACACTATATTTATTAGATGCATATTGGTAAAGATGAACATGGCAAGCGTAGGAGAAAAGACGTGTATAGTGTACTTAATAATGTTTTTTGTAAAACATACCTTTCTCTCTCTAATCCTCTCAAAGAGAAACCTATATGTTTGTTTCTCCAAAGAGCTTTTTCAGACAGGAAGCGGATGCCTATTCGTTGCAGCGTCGAAATTTATTAACGCCTTACAGCACACTCAATCGATCGTTCGAACAAACCTGCGGAGACGAGAATCGTTTTTTTTTCACAAGTACCTCTTTCATTGTTGACGGCGTCGATCGTTAATTATTCACGATTAGCGTAAATAATACAAGCCGCTTCTGATTGTTCGTTTTACAGCGTCTTTTGATTTGTCTCTCTTATTCATTATTCAGTAGGGTTCGGGACGCCTCTGTCGATTTTTAGTATAGATAATAGTACATGTTTTCAGACTTACACTCTTCTCTTGCCCTTATTGCTTTCAAACTTATTAAACGCCCTCGAGACGCTTCTTCCGATTCGATATAGTTATAGACCGTATCGTATTCCGATGTTGAACGAGAGTAAAGTATACAGTCAATAATAAGAGTATCTGCATTGCTATTATATTTTATTAAATACCTTTTTATTCAGTCAGACAATGTCAGAGAGGATACTTGAACCGATATATAAGGATATACTTCAATCCATTGACCACATTGTAATTAACAACGACTATGATATAATATGAGACCTTTTGTTCTTAATCACTTTTTAATTTACTCTCTTAAAAGAGAATAAAGAAAAAAAGCAGACAAGCGAGTGAAAAAGTAGCATATATTATTAAATATTCCTTTTTGTCTCAACTTTAACAACAGTTTCGGTAATAATGAATGAAAAAAAAACACTGGTAACAAATCTAAAATATTCTTTACCATTAGTTTGAACTTGAATTATTAATTGATTGAAATAACTTAGTACCTGGACGAGTATTGCTCCAAGGGTTAATTATTATAGGAGACGGTTAAGGGAAAATATATAGCTACATAACAAAAAAAAGAAATATTTCATTTAATATCCGATGTACTGTATTTATATAATCGACTGGAATATAAAAACTTATAAAACTGGTAAAGAAGGATAAGAAGTAAAAAAAAAAACGGGGGCGTTTTTCTTAAGTGAAAATAGTAAAATAGAATGAGAGATAGACAGACATAATGAAGAGTGGGATAGGCAATGGAATACGTCTTACGTATATCTCTTTCCGCCCGCAATTTTACTATACCTTTGCCCTTCCGTCTAACCTGAGGCGCTGTATCGCGCCTTTGACTGTATATATTCATTGTATACATATACTCATCCCGAGGAGTTTTTTTGCCTGTATTATAGCATACGTTCGAAAGAAATTCGATGCTATCGAAAATATAGCGCACCTGACACTGGTAATCGACTTGTCCATTAAGATTCTGTTGACTATGCGCACTTACGCAGTTTGATTCCGTTTCGCTCATAATTTATTACACCTGTAAACTTATCTATTGTCAATTTTTTCCTCGACATGCTTTTCTATAGTCTCTTTTAGGAAAAGAGAGAATGGAAATGCTTAGGATAAAACTACGTGTTATACGAATGTTTGTATCTATAGGGCGCTAACTTTATAGAGGTTCTGTAAAGAAAACTGTACAATAAACAAGAGTCGGTTTGAGGAAGAGCAGTGGGGGCTTTGCTAGAAACTATCGAGATAAAACCGTACGATGTTGGGGGCAATTTTTGTATAGCTAGTTTCTCCTCCTGATAACAGATAGAGTTAGAGGAAGAATTTTCCTTTTGTCTTCTAAGCGGTATGTGTGTATTATAAAATTCAGCATAAAAAACGCATAAGTGGTGCTCGTAATAAGCTCAAATTGTCATGTTTAGGAAAGGGACAAGATGAAGGTCTGATGTGGGAAAAGAAATGTGGAAAAAGATTCTTTAATTTCCGACTGCTAGTAGCTCTTAATGCTGCCATAGCGATTTCAATCAACTCGCGCCCTTTCCTATTTCTATCTATTGAGAATTACGCAACATCTCCTCTTTTACTGCAGGTGCTTTCTAAAAGTCTTTCAGAGAGTTAAAACGAACAAAAACGAAAATATATTGTTTTGATGCATATTTCTTATTTTAATATTATAAGTGGCATTGTTTTTGAAGTTAATTATCATTTTTTCGCTTCATAAGGAAAAAACACTTAGGGCGCATGCGTATTATTTCAGATAATATGTTTTCCAATGTTTACAATTGCCTTCTGCAAAAATTTGTAATATAACTATATTTGACTACCAAAAAAGGTTTTCTTCACACCAGCCTAAGGCGAGAACTGTATACATCAAATAGACCAATTTATATCTATTATCAACAGTATACTGCTAGTAATTGATGTAAGACTATATCAGAAAATCCAAGAGAAAAATTTCTCATACATATCTTTTTTATGTAATTGAGAATTTAATTTCTATAAACTAACTTTATAATAAATCTTTAAGAAATGCTTTATATGTATCTTTCACAAAACGGTATTTCCTCTCTTTCTTATTCTCTTTCCCTTTGTTTTTCTATCACACACCATCACTCTTACTCACTCGCTCACTTTAAAAAATATGTTTAATTACACACAATAATAAGCCTTCATTTTTCCTTAGCCTCATCTTAAAACTGAATTCTGCACGAAAAAAAAAAAGAAACTAGGTTAAAGGAAAACAATTACGTTTGTCAATCTAGAATCAAATTGCTAGGAGTAATTGTTAAATTAAATAGACAAAAAGTACAAATAAAAGTCATCTTTTTTAATTGAACAAATAAGCAGGTTTTATTCCTGAATGTGAAATATACTTTGCAAGCTTTGCCATTTCCTTTATTAATAAGTTGATTGATTTTATTTGGAAAAGAAAATTCTTCTATGTTTATATTTAGAATTTTTTTTGAAATCGATGATTTTCTGTAAACTCCGAAGTTCAAAACCTTGTTTATGCGTAGATTAAATAGCTTTTCTCTTTCATACTATTATAGTACACTGGTATGGAAGCTGCTTTGTATCTTTTTTTCCCAACTGATACAAGCTTCTTTTTGAAATGAAGAACTTTTTTTTTAGGTTTTATTATAAAATAAAGTATTAAAGGGAATAAATTATAATCCCCTCTCTCTCTCCCTCTCTAACCTATCTCTTAAGAAGCAAACAAAAAGTGAAAACAAGAGACAAGCATTAGTAAAGAGAATGAACTGAACATGATTAAAATTGACAGCTGACATAAGGAAATCGATAGAAATGAGACCGATTTTTTTTTGGAATAAGCGAAAAGAGGATATAGAATAATAGTTTCGACGATGATAATTAAATAATGGAAATAGCTTGTTTAAAAGAAATAATAATAATAAAAAAAAGGCAAGTATTATCACTTTGTCTGATGCTGTATGTGTAAAAAAAAAGTTAAAAATTGACACTACTATATGCAAATTTCTCTAATTGAAGAAGTTTGTACTTTAAAGAGAAAAAACATATCCTTCTCAAGTTCTCTTCCGTTTATACTTCAACGTACAGTAGTTTGTTTAAATAGATAATAATTAAATTCGTATTTATATGAAAGGAATTTATAGGTGAGTGGTTATAAATTATTTTTCGTTATTTGTATCTATTTCCTAAGTTTACATAATTGCTGGAAACAAGAACTTTGCCGCGCGGAAGAAAAATAAATAAGAGCCGGCAAAAGAGTTCTTATGAATCATTTATATCCTGAAAATATACAGAACATGCCTTATGTATAATTATTCATGTATTTATGGGTAAAGTACATCATTATAGTGTAATAACTATATAAGCGTATACATGTATATCTATATTCATAAGTATATATGACCCTTATAAAAAGTTATATATAAAACGTTTTAAAAAAGAATTGCTTGAAGCAAACTTAAATCGGTTAAGACTTACGCAAATCCAAACTTAATCCATAGCTAATGCAACACAATGCAATAAATTTGAGTTTGTTCAACATATTTTCTTTTTTCAAATGCAGAAAGTTTTCAAAGAAAAGGAACGATCTGGATTACAAGCTTTTATTCCCCTGAATGACACTGTACGATTGTTGCGCTGAATAGATGGCGCCACCGTTAATCATTGAGTGACTACTCTCAGGGAAGACTGCAGCTGTATGTAAAGAATGCATTAAAATGATTGAATACTTATCTCAATAAAAAAATTATTGTAGATGTATCTTTCTATTGCAAAAGAGTTTTTTTTGCATTTTATATTAATATTCATGAGAGAGTAATTATTATTCATTCATGTTTGTTGTGAGAGGAAAAAGGAAATAATTCTCTGGTTCACTTGTTTTACCTATAGCATGTAAGCCTCAAAAAAGTATAATGATATTAAACAAGATTTTCATAAATGGATCAATTTAAGGGTAATAGACTCATGAATAATTAAAAACTGCCATTACAGTATTACAATAGTTTATTTATAAATAATATTATCAAGTAATTATTATAATTATTGAACTCAATGTAAGGCGTCTCTACGTCTGTAAATAGTACCGTTATAAAAAGGAACGATGGAACTAGAATTTCAAGTGGAACAAACCCGTCTTGGGGATACAGTGTTTATGCTAAGAAAATACAGAATTGCCATCCTTCGGGGATATATCCGAAGAAGAGGAACAAAAAATGTATAAACCAATACAATCTCTGTGAAAAAGGCTTTTCTTTCTCCAGAAATTTTTGATACTAGGCCTATTGTATACCAATCGCTTTCTTTTCCCACCGGATTTTGTAGACTTCCGGTTGTAAGAAGGAACAAAGAAAGTAAACGAACATTAAGAATGGATAATGAAAAATAAAAAAATAATAAAAAGTACTAAATAAAGAAATTCAGAGGCAAAAAAAAAGTGTAAAAGAAATTTTCTCTAGTTTTCCTCCTTTTCTGACATTTTCAAGATTTTTCAATAATAAATTAACAATCAATATTTCAAAAAGTTTTCAAGTTTTGTTTTATCATGAGTTGTAACTATAAATTAATTAGTACAAACCCAATGATACGTACGCTTAATTATAGTTCACTTTTAAATAGGTAATGAAAGATGAAAGTCAAGAGCAACACCCTATTAAAATATACCGCATAAAGCTAAAATTGTTAAATCTTTTGACTTGTCCATCACTTTTATAAAAAAAGCTAGATATTACTTAAGCGAATTCTATGAATAAATTATAACTTACCCATTTAAAAATAGCTGCTGCTGCGGCGCTTTTATCTTTTACTTCGTCCATGTCTATATCTGTGATAAGTTGATGGGCCTCCTGTGCCAACGAAGTTTCAATCATTTCCGGTTTCGTGTCGTGAATCCTCTTGAGTAGGTTCTGCTGCTTTAAAAGTTTCTTTACTTTGACGAAATCCCTTGTTTTCCTCTCGGGAAAACCGAAAACTAGTAATACGGCTTGTAGGATTCTGTGAATAATTGGAGATGGCTTTCTATAGCTGATCAATTCAGCAACAGAATTATTGTTCAGTTTAAGAACCCTATGGACAGTAATTTCATATTCGTCCAAGTCCTTTATCAATTCTTCAGCCTTCTTATAATCCTTTCTCAAATGATATTTCAACTTTGGCCTTAAATCAAGTACTTTTAAAACCTGTTTCAAACCCTTAGCATTCAATATACTTGTAAAATACTCCAAATCTAAAAAAAATGGGATAATTATTAGTTTTACAGCTGTGGAGAGCGAATTATATATATGCAATAAACAGAGAAAAATGTTAGCCTACAAGAAACATGTGATCCCAGTATATCCTATTTTAATATATACAACATGCGCTTCTCGTTTACAGAATAAGTCTGTAATAGCGGTGAAAATAACCAGTTGCCCAGTGATTAACGGTAATAACTCATTTATGGGGTCGCGTTGAAATAAACTAACGTCGATCATGAGATGTGTACCGAAATTGCTCGACAAACGTAAATAAGCGGATATGCATACAATAAAACAATTATACATACCTGCTCTTGCTTCTATTATATCCTCTCTAGGTACGCAATTCTCGCCATTCTTACTATAGTTTGAAGACTCGTTTGATGATACACTACTACGATTTTGACATACTGCTAGAGAAACGTCGGAGGTCGTTACTTTTGAGTCCTCAGTTGCGCTATGGTTACTCAAACTGTCCAACATTAATTGGCAAGAGGAAGAGAGACTATCATCAGTGACGTAATTACTAGGCGAACTTCCCGGCCAATTTTCTTCTTCCTCATCGTTTTCTTCCTCTTCTCCCTCTTCTTCCCAGCTTTCTTCAAATTCTTCTTCTTCTTCGTCCTCATCGCCTCTTGAATCTACTGCATTCAATTGTTCTTTTTGCTTGCCTCCAACATCAGCCTCAAATTTGTGTGTATTTTCCTTCGTAACCATGTCAATTAACTCAGTTGTACGACTATTAGATCGGCTTGTTGCATAATAATGCGAATCCGATGTGGGATAAATTCGACTATTCGTATGTATTGACCTTGTTTCTAGGATGCTTCCTTCTTCATCTTCTAATTCTTCGTCATCCTTTCCTTCGTTACTTTTTTCTTCGTCGTCTATTTCCTTTGTTTCTTCCTCTTCGTTCTCTTTATTTTCATCTTCGAGCTCAGATTTTGCCTTTAATTCTTCTTCTCCTTCTTTAGTTGTAATAACTTCATTCATTTTGTCTACACGTTCTCTCCCAGCATTACTTACTTTATCATATTCTACGTTATCTTTAATATCAGTTCGTTCCCTTTCTTTAGAGTCAATCCTTTCTCCTATATCAATTACCTCCGTCGTTTCGTCTTCATTTTCAGATCCAACTAATGTTGATGTATCATCTTCATTCTTGAGTGTCGGACTTCTTTCTGAGAACTCCGTAACCAAAGACTTTAATTCCGTTTGTAGAGAATGATAAGTTTGAATGGAAAAACTTCTATAAATAGGCTGAGGACTTGACTTTCTAAGGCGCTCATCGCCTGAAGAGGAAACAGAAGAGTTACTATTCTTTCTAGATACTGCTTTTGGCGATTCAAATCGATCCGGTGTAGATGACTCGGAAAAAGGAGTTTCAACAAGAGGGGACAGTGATTTTCGTACGCTAGCCGATGACGTTTTTTTTAACGTATCAGGGGTTGGACTATTTTCTGCCATTAGAGATACATATGCATGATATTTAAGGTCGCTTTGGAATTTTTCGGCTCTGTCGTATTCGAGGGAAAGCCAATCATTAATACTCTCATAAAAGTCTTCATCAACAATCTAATAAAAATTGTGAAGAAACAATGAAAGTATCCAATTTTATAACTTTAAATAGAATATAAAATTACCTCGAATTCTAGTAATGCAATATTGTTTAAACTTATAACAGCACTCGAAAAGTGGGAGAATATGAAAGGTTCTGAACTATTTATGTCTCCTCTACGTTTCATTCCATAAGAATATTTCTTTATTCCATTATCGTACATTGCAACGTTTGCCCTATGTTGGCAATTTTCTTGAAGCTTTATAGAAAATTTACTTATCGAGTTCTTACAGATCAAGCCCCTTAATGGTTCAACTAGACGTACAGAGGATCTTTGCCATTCTGTTTGATTTAATATACTAGGAAAGGGGTATAAGTTTTTTGCAGGATAATCGCATATAACAATAACATAAATTGCAAAATTACCAATATCGATCGATAATAAATATATGCCAACAACTGCCGGTTTAGTCTTTACAACGTATTCATGCTCTGATCGCTTCTCCCAAAAGGCAAAGTGTGGTTTTTCATAATCGATAACTGCATCATCATCATGATATAATGTCCATTTGACTCTGACGTTTCCCTCTTCCGTTGTTTTTTCTTTTTCAATTAATAATTCCATGTCGTCTACAGATTCTTTCAAATGGATTAATGGTTCGGTATTTGTTAATCTAATATATTTCCTATCCGAAAATTTGATGCCTATTGAATTAGAAGGTAGTACTGGGAATAAACGCCTATCTAAACAAGCTTGTTCAGCGCATAATAAATAAGAGCCGATAAGTTTCCTCTCCTCGTCGCTATTTCTTTTTCTAACTAGAACATCTAAAGCATAGTATCCTCCGAGCGGAAATCGAATATGAATAACAATAATTGAATTTTCATGTATCCAACAAACATACGAATGCCTTAAATGATTGATATCTGCAAAATTTGATCGTAATTCGAAATTAACATCCTCCTTTTCCAAATTGTCTGCCTGGAATTCTAATCTTAATACACCGTATCTACTGATAACTCTGCCTCCCAGAACGCCTTTTAAACCCAAATTCCAGACATGATTAACTGATATTAAACCCCATTCGAAATTTTCATTAAAGGGATAAGGCTGAGGTTGATAACGTACATTCTCGCAAAAAATCTCGTAGGAACAAACGAAAATTGAATCTCCCAATCTACCATATCCATCTACAATTTGAAAGTTAAGCTTGAAGGAATAATATCCATTTTTTGGTAAATTAATACGAATTCGAATACACCCGCTTATTTGCTCGATGAATATAAACCTATCGCCGTTTTCTAGTACTTCTTCGTTGTTCCCTAAGGACCCGCTAAATCTAACTGGACGAGAATTTAATTGATTCTTTCGATTGAATATAATCTCGGTAACGCCATATTCTGATTTGATATCTTTAAACTCAGCAGTTGACGAATATAAACCGCATATACTATACGCTAGAGGATTTATATATAATGAACTTTTAAATTCCTCTAAATTAGAGAAAATGTGTTTTGGAATGTTAGCTGATTCGTCCCAGAAATAAAAAAGATAGCTCTCATCCACTCTTCTTTTAGCGAAAGGTGAACTGGTTTCACCATAATGAACGAATTGTATAATATCAATTATTTCGTCCTCATTATCGTTTATCATCAGCCATTCGTGATTCCTAATTCCAACATCTGTTCCATAAGTCTTTACGTAACCATTAACTTTGATGCAATCAATTTCCGAATATCTTCAAAAGTGAATTAAAGTTATACGTATTGCACATATAATGTTTTACATCTATATATCTATTCAAAAGATTTATGTTGACATTATTGTGAATTGTATCTATCTGACTATGATATTCTTAGAATAAACTTACGTAAACATGTCAATTAAAAAGTCAACCAAATTGCTTATTGTCTTTCGACATTTCCATTTCAAGATCCAATTAAGCGTTTCTCCAACTTTCTCATCCAAACTATTAGATCTACTATCCAGAAAGTCCAATTGACATTGTAAAGATTGTTTGCAGGATTCATGCTGACATACTCCTTTTATCTTCATTATTATTTCTCTCTTTTATAAACAATTAAATACAAATGATAAAAGATAAATTTTATCATGGAATCTTATTGGTTTTCTTCTATCTTTAGTGTTTTGTGCGAATGGAATCGTCAGACTATTTCGTAACTGGTGTAAACAAGATTTTGGATTAGCATGGATACTAATCCTTTTCGAAGACAATACATTATCCTAGTTAAAGATCGATAAAGTTGTCGCCCAAAGGGCCAACGTATACTAAATATTTTCAAGTAAAATTTTGTATTTTATTCTTTCAAATTACTTTAAAACAAATAAACATTAAGTTTCTCCTTCTCGTCAGTCTCTCTGTTCGGTAGGCCTCATGATGACATCGTTGATCTATACGGGATATTGAATAAAGAAAAACAATAATAATTTATACATACGATAGAGTTAACCGCGTATAAATTATATAAATTGTATATAGTGTATTTAACCCGAAAAGTGTTGATTAGACCTATTTGCAATAACATACGTAAAGATTACTAACTTCGACATGAGGAGGAGCTTGTATAATGTGAACAACAGTATTCGCAATATCCTCGGGTTGCAGACACTGTGATAAAAAGAAAAGGAAAAGCCGATTGAAACCTTTAGTGCAACAGAAAAGAAAATGAAGGGAAAGGATAAATGAATGAGCTCTTTCTAAAATAGGGATTATAACATGAAAAAGTAAAAGAAATAAAGAATTTCATTAACCTTGAAGTATGAACAGATCTGTTTGCTTTCTTCTTTACCATGAATTAAGTTAAAAAAATCAGTTTCTACCATGCCAGAGCTGACAGCCTAAGGATTGGGAAAGAGAAATTTGTTTCATTATTAAATATTTAGCTTTACCTTTATATTCTTCTACTCTTTACTTACGCTAGCTCTAATATGGGAATTGGCGTTACGCAATTCCTGCCTAATTGCTTCCGTCAGTGCTTTTACAGAGTGCTTTGTTGCAGCGTAAAAATGGTAAGAAGGGAGGTTAAAAACAATATGTCCAATTAAGCTACCAGAATGAATCACTTGTAAAATATATAACAATGTTGATTATCTTAAAATTATTACATTTTATGAATAAATTAATATTGTAATAATCAATCTACATGTTATTTGAGTACTAAAACAGCATTCAATAACAATTGAAAGTTTATACTTAATCAAACTATATAGTACCATCTACATATATATATAATATATAAATTTAATGATTAACGTGACATCTAGTGAATATTAAATTAAGTCGGCCACTTCTAACCTGCTAATATTAATTAAATGGCCGTCGTCAATACCCTTTTTTTTCATGGATTTATAGGCCTCTCTACAAAAATCGGCATAGGCTACGACATTAACCTGTTATAGCAAAAAATATAATATCAGCAATAGTATTTGAATTTGTTAACGAAAGAGAACTACTTAAAAATTCAAGTACAATAGTTTAAATATCTAATTACCTCGATCATATCCATCCAATTCTCTCTTTTACCTTCCAAAATGCTACCCTGTTTTGCTATTCCTGCATTATTGATGAGAATATCAACTCCACCATACTTATCATTGATCTCTGCAAAAACTTTTAAAATGTCATCCTCTTTTCTAACGTCACACTGCATAGGTATGAAGGTTCCTTTAACTTGGCCAAGTTTGTCAGCAAACTCCTTTAAAGATATTAGATTCGGGAATTTACCAAGATTCCACAAGGAATTCTGATTAGTAAGATAAATGGAAATGGAAAAGGAATCTTACATTTAATTTATTGAAACTTCTGGCTACTCCAAAAACGACCATTCCTTCAATTGTTAATTTCTTGGCAATAGCCTGACCGATTCCAGACGAAGCTCCTGTAATTATAGCTACTCTTCCCATCCAACGTTCCATATTTTGTCTATTGTATATGTTCTAAAATGGTAGGCTCATGGACAAAAGGGATTGAGCAACCGACAAGGAAATACATGTAATTTTACGGTCGAGTACCTGTCTATTTTTAAAATATATTAATAGCATGAATTAAATGCTTTCAAACACCGAAAAACTCTGGCATAATTCACTAGATGGCACCACTGTTACTTGTTTAGCAGAAATATATTTTTGTATTCCCCTATCGGTTTACTCTACTACTTTATTTCTTTATATTATTTGTTTGAGAAAAGGTACTGACGTCGTTCTACCTAATTTCTAGAACAATTGTTAATAATTTCTATGTAATTGATTTACAAGGCTAGCATTAGGTCAAAAGATACAATAAAAAAAGGAAACCAGAGGAGTACGGGGCGGTAAGTGAAAACCGACCATAAGGTTCCTATACTTAAAAACGGGACTGGTAAAGTCTTTTACGATAAATCGAGAGATATAGCAAGTGATTTTATAATTGTTTTACATTATACATTAATCTTAATAAGATTGGACGGTTAAAATAAACTTTCTGTTTATACTTTTCTTTTTACTTCTCTCCAGGTTATCTATGGTCAAATTGATTTTTTTTTATTGTCGAAAGATGATGTAGATCATTTACCACCTTATAGTAAAATACTTTTTTCTGATTTGAAAGAAAACATCATAAATTTCTCTATTCTCTTCTCGTATCAGTTTCTGTTCAATATGCATACCATTTTATGGGAAATATTACTCTTATTAGCCTATTTAAAATTCCTGAGCTAACTCGAGTTTATTTATTTTTTTACGATATTGAGGGAATTGATTCCCTTGTCTTTGTCTCTTTCCCACTCTTTTTAACTTGTATCTTTCTTAAGATATCTTCTTTCTTTTCTTTTTCAACCTTCCTCTTTCTTTATATCGTTTTATTCGCCTCCCTGTATCTCATTTGATTCTCTCTTCTCTCTCTCTCTCTTTCTCTCTCTCTGTCCCCGCCTCTCTATCTCTATATCTTCTAAGGTTTTCTACTTATCTTTATGACTATTTATTCATTTTTATTGCTAAATCTAGGGAAACTTTTTGTTCTTCGTCTTTCAAGATAGTTTCTATTCAATAAATATTAATTTTAATATATATAGATGGAAAAATTGAGAAGATGAACAAATTTTGTAGCTTATATGTTGTATAAAAGCTATAAAATTACCGAGGCCTAAAGTATAGTGCATCTTTATTTGACATACGAAACAATAAACTGTTGTTGTTGTTGTTCTTTCGTGTTTTTTTTTTTAAAAACGATTTCTGTAAAATACGATTCTCTTTGATTAGGCACCGCTCACAGGGACTTGAAGCTAAGCCCTTTTTAAAACAGGAAAAAAAAAGGGTGAGAAAGAGCAGGAAAGTAGATGGCGACAAGGTAGCCTTAATAGCTGATGAAGAATAATAGAACCGGATTTCGTGGGATGAGGGTTAAAGATAGGGGTGTGGGTGGTTAAAAAAAATAAGGGTACAGAATTTTAAAAAAGACGGAAAATGCATAAAAGTACAATGCAATAAATGAAAATTTACTATAATTAGGAGAATATAATAACAATTATACAGAAAAAAATAAAACCTAACATCCTAAAAGCAAAGCAGATTTTAAATAGTACGGTATTCTGTTACATAACGAAAAAGTCTTGTTTCAACAAGACCACCGATAGTTTTTTGGATGCTAATAGGCAAGGGTACCCAAACTGAGAAAAGTTCTATGCTGAATAATATCAACGTAGAAGGGAATATACAGTAGAGCCTTTAAACTTTCCTTTTTCGTATATATAAGTGTATGCGTCTTAAAAAAATTACATAAAAACACTTAGGTTAGGTTGGGTTTAGGCTGCGCCTATTTTTTCCAACCCGGTCATATGGCAGTGTTCTAACAATGCACCTGTTTATTCAAACGTTTTAGGCGGTTTTAATTAATTCGAATTCATTTTGCATAAACAAAATCAACCGGAACGAGGGTTTAGGTTATACTGAGAGAGAATTTTCTCTTTTACAAATACGAATTATGTAAAAAGTGTAATAGCCGTGGTAAACATAGTTAATATGAGCATTCCTAAGTTTATGTTAAGTACGTATATGAATATACATCTGATATTTAACCATTTATATTTATTGCACAGTTGAATGTCTAATTTCCATTTAAGCGACTTTTCTTATAAACTATCTTTAATACATATAAATCTTTGTGTATACCTACGTGTAAACTTATACATTTTTACGTCTACATTTAGCGTGGTTTGTAGTTGAATTTACACAAAAATTGTGGCCTATTATGCCATTATTATAACTGTTATAGCATTACAACTTGCTCTGACTCATAATTTTGCCTTATCAGTACCCACCCTGATACGAGAAGAGTGTAGAATTTATTGAGCGCAGAGGGCGCTGATTCTGGATGATAAGCGCATTGTTTTATTGATATATATATATATATATATATATAAATTTACATATTGAAATATTTACATTAATATTTAAGTAAGTAGCGTTTAAGTGTAATAGCAATAATCAGGAATAAGTCAAATATTTTCTTTTTTAGCGAAAAAAAGGACTTTGATGATAGGAAGCAAAAATAGAAAGAAACGAAAAAACATGCATAAAAAAAAGCAACAAGGAAAAAAAATTCTCTAATACCAGAAATGGGGACATGTACATTTACACATACACACAATTAATTAATAGGGGTGTGATTAATCAGTTAATTATACATTTAACTATAAAACGAGATCAGCCTACGAAAGGTTTATTATTACGTATATACCTAGATTTTTTTTTTTGGTATGTGGCCATATTTGACGATATAACCCAATTTTAAAGAGCTTTTAAAGCTATTTTTCAATTATTTACTTATTTAATAATATTATTATTTACCGTATCAGTGAAAATATCGATCAAGTAAAAAGATAGACCTTTGTTTTTCAATATCCACCCCCTTTTTTTGATGAGCCCCTCCCACACTAGCTGGTCGTTAAAATGCATTATATAGGGCTTGAATGCGCCTGTATAACGGAGGGAAAAACAATTTCATCTAGAATTACACGACCCTCTAAATGCGACCTCTGCTATTATTATTCATCATTAAAACAAAATATTGTATACATATTCTACCGGTTTTCATATTTATTAATCGCTTTAATATATTTAAAATATAACACAAAACTCCTTACCTAATTATTAATAAGTAGTTAAATATTGTTTTTATAAGTTCGAATTACTATTCTGGAGGGTTTTTTTTGGAATAGTTTCTCTCCCTTTTTCCCTTAAAACCCAAAATAATAATTTTTTTAAAGGGGTTTGGCAACCTCGTCCTTCAACTTTCTCCGCAGTGTTTGTTTTTTAGTAAATAAATAAAAATTGACCATTCAAGAATCTTTAAGCACAGTTAAATGATATAAGATAATGAGAATAGAGAAGACAATGTTAAGAAAAACAATTAGACAGTTTAACAAATAACGACGAGAGATAGGGGGTAAAGAGAAGCGGGACGAGGATGATATAGAGACGGGAAGGGAGGAAAAATCTTAAATAAAGAAAACTTAACATGTCATTAAGCAACGGAATGTTCCATAGTAGGAGCTGGTCCTTCTAAACCAAGATGGCGTTTAATATGAGCCTTACATTTGTCCTTTCTGTAGAACGTCTTAGAGCATATACGACAAGAATATCGTCTCATACCTGTGTGAATAGGTCTATGGCGTAAAAGAGACGACTTAGTAGTAAAGTTCTTTCCGCATTCATGACAAATATAAGCGTGATGAATAGATAAGGTATGTGAGAGATACTTGGTCAAATCTTGAGCCTCTGTTGCACAAAATTTGCAACGAAACGGTCCGTTTCCGGCGTTCGGATTTGTTGTCGTCAGTCCCATATATTCAGCGATCTCCTCTGCTGTCAGTTGATCGTCAGGTAGACGTCTTCTTCTTCTTCTACCATCACCTACGGAGCCTTGTAACTTGTCAATCAAATAATCCGATTCAATTCCACGTTTTTTCTCTGTTCCCTCAGGTTTAGGGGTAATAGGGTTGGGTAGGGTAAGAGAAGGCCAACCCCCTATGAAGGTTTGAAAATCGTTTAAACTTGTAGGCAATTCCGCATGGCCGTTCGGCATTGGGTTAGGCGATGGCTGAATTTCAGTTTCTTCCGGAGAGCTACACGGTCTCATTAAAGAGACTGATGTAGAACTATCCCCTTCTTCATTATCCGAAGTAAAGTCATTGTGTTGAGGTGGTACGCGGTATTGTACTCTTGATTTTCTGCGAGAACTGCCGCTTCTCTGTATTCCGTCATCATCTTGTGTATCAGCAACTTCCACATCTATTTCGCCCTTAACTAAATAGCCTTGCTCACCACCACCGCCTCCGCCATCCTCCGTAACTCTTTTTAGGGTGTTGTTTAATTTTATAACGAGTTCCTTATCGTCGCATCCATCCGCCGTAACGCAGATGACGCCGATAATCTGTAATTTTTCCGAATAAGCGATACGCTCGTTGAACAATTGCAGTACGGAATGCTGTAGCGATTTTGTAGTAGTAGAATTCATATCGGCGCCACGTCACAAACTGTTGTCACCCGCGTTCGAACAATACTGATAAGAACAATGATGAATGTCGGACTTTGAGCTGGTTTCTCCCCTTCTAAACACGTACCAGCATGGCCTACCCTTCGCTCGCCGCGCCGACTTATGTAACATATACCGCCCAGCAGCGCTTATTTATTATTAAAAAAAAATTTTTTTTAACTAATACTCCATACGGGGCTGGGGTATAGGAGAATATAAAACGGCAGGTTTTTTAGTTCAATAATATAATAGGCACGTCCCGATAAGAGATAACGGCTATCAGCCCTGGCTAGGTGAGATACGGGCTTTTTAAAGATAAGGGGACTTACAGGTGAAAACACGTTTTTCGCCATCGATTTTTCTCTCACTCTTTCTAACAGATTGAGAAAAAGGACCTGCCCCTCCCCCGTTTCCTTTCCCCTATTTTTTCACACTAATTTTGCCTCACTCTTTGTCTCTCTAAATATCGGCTTCTATCTCTGTTTTTTTCTTTTTTTAACTGTTTATTCCCCATTTTCTTATTTAATTTAAAAATTACGAAATTCTTAATTTATCAATATTTAGACCAATGTGTAAACGTTAAACAGCTACCTTTTTTTTGGCAGCCCTCAATTTTTTTAATTGCCATTCGATTCCGAAACTGATCGGGTAATTTTTCAGCGACATCTGGCGGATTGCCCATTGGCCAAAATCCTTAAAAGGATTAATGGATTAAAATTATAATAAAAACCGGGAATAGAAATGGATTTTTGGAACACGCCCAGTTTTAAAAGTTAAGCTCCTCATTCCACCCCCGCCCCTTACTTCGATAGTAGCAGCAGTTTATTAAATATAAAATTAAGTCTAATCAGAATGAATCATATATACCAATCAAAATTTAATAGAATTTTAATAAAATGATCAGTTAACTAGACATAAAACAGTAGTAAAAATTGTCCACTAAAAGTTATACTTTGCCATGCAACATGTAAAAAGTGGGAGCTTAATGTTTACTACAGTACAATGTTGCACTATATATGTGCATTTCCTTTACGCATATAGAATGCATCTACAGGCCATCAGTCGCCATCTATAGTACCGATGTATATATATATAATTTGTTTTTTTAATTTTAATATTCTTCTGTCTCGTACGATTAGTTGTCGTTTAAGACTATGAAAATTAATATAGGCCTTGATAAGTTTCTTTAGCGAAACATTTCGTGATGGTGAATAATAGAAATGTTAAATAAAATGGCATAATGCGTAATATAGCTCTGTCCATTTTAGAAAATTTATGATAGACAATCAGGCAGTAACAGAGAGAATGAATGACAAAGACAAAAATATTTATACGTGTGCATATTTTCGGGGAAGAAAAGATCGTTTTTATATCCTAACGACAAAACCTTTTTTCAGTTAAAGAAAACTTTTCAACCTATACGAAACATACGTTTTTAATCGGGTTACTGATAAAGATCGTCATAATGTCCAAGATGTTGTAGGATTCCTTAATTTAAACAAAATATATATTTAAATACGTTTACTTACCCTTTCAAGAATATTTTTCACTTCTTTCTTATTAATACCTACTACTATTTCTAAGAAGTATTATAGAGAAATATTATACGATCACCAGCAGATGGCGTTTAACAAAAATTTAAAAAATGAATTTAAACAATTACATATATAGTATAAACTATATATTTTTATAAATATAGAAACTCTAAATAGCAGTCTAGTTATATCTCATAACCTACCATTACATATAGATAGTAGAGAGCAAGAGTAAAATTAGTTCCTAATCAATTTCAAAGGTTAAGAAAGATCAAGTATTTTTATTTAAAATAAGGGATATCTGTTATCTTTCTTACATTCTTTATAAGTTTTAATCAATTTTTTTGAACTAATTAAAAAGAATTACTATTCTTCTTCCTATGTTAGCATTTATAATCATTAATATATTTTATCTAAATTTTATCTATACATATATACACTATATATACTGTATATACATTTATACCTTTTAAATATGAAATATGTATGTTTGTTAAGAAAAAAAAGGAATAGGAATAGAAACCTTTGTTCTGAGAAAAAATGTCTGCTAAATGCAATATTGTTATCATTTATGACTTGTAAAGAAAAAAAAAACATAAATTAATACCAATTTATCATACATTTTTAAAAGTTAAATAGATAAGAAAATGCAATTATTTTATATTAACCCATATTATATATATTTAGTACCATAGAAGTATGGTAGTATTTTAATTGCTTTTTATTAAATGATTTACCTATAAATATGCTATATTTAAATATATATATATATCTACTATATATAGAATGTTGAGAAAAAACTATATTATCATAAACATGAGGCAAAAAGTAGAACCTTTTCTTTTCAGAATATTTGTTGTTGATATCATTGATAAATCTGAAGTTTTAACGTTAACAGCAACACACTCTTTCCATCAGTTTTTTCTTATTTTGCTTGTAATTAATTACTTAATTGACTTAGTCGATACTAAGGTAAAGAAAGAGCAGAAAGAGAAAGAATAAATGGATAAGGAGATTTGATATCCTGTATACATAAAATATATACATGTATATATGTCTGTAGTAAAAACTTATGAGAAGTTTTACTGTATATTATATTCATTCATCACATAAATGCTATAGTTCACATAAGCATTATATTTTTACATCTTTATTATGTTATTTTTTATATTGTATGTAGTATATATACTCTATATGCTATATATATATTTATTATTGCCACTTTTACTATGACAATGTATCAGTCATTGAAAGTTTATCTATATTTTCCTTGTTAAGAAGTCCAATATCTGGATTATATTGTTATTGTTATTTAACCTATAGACTACATATACAAGGATTAAATGTCTTTAAATATAATATGGAAATTACTCTTCAACAGTTAGCTATTAGTTTAAGACGCGATTCCGTCCAGGCTGTAGACCTAACGGGCATTTATTTTTTAAATACTAGTTTCTATATTAAGATGAGCTCATCACACATGCTACCTTATTTCTAAGTATCCTTTCTATTGCTTGCCAAATTAGTTTTCTTACAATAATTATTATTATCTATTACTTAATTTTAATATCCTCTTACAAAAGTTTGTTCAATTCTAAGTAATTTAATGATATCTCAAACCGCTAGATGGTGCTTTAGTCTGCATTTCATTGGCAATTTGCACGAATTCTATCGTTTTTTTTGTCATTATTATCTATAACGAAATCTCTACCAAATAATTGTAACTTTGATGCATAGACTACTTTTGAACTGCTAAGACGAATAATTAAATGAATTAAATAATGTTCTTCATGTCAGAATGTGTGATAAAGATGAATAAACATTTTTAAAAATAGTTTTTGTTAATGCAAATTCATGGAAAATTAAAAAGTCCTAATATAACTGATCAGTCATAAGCATCCAAATATATCACATTGAAAAAAGTTTCCTCTTTGGATGTTAATTATCTTTGGGAAGAAGACATTTCTTAACACTTTGGTACTTGTTTTCCATAGGAAAATTTTCAAAAATTTCTCTAATTCAAAAGTATATAAAGAAGGAAAAGATGCTTAAAGTTAAAGTTTTCAAAGTTGAAGAAGACTGAAAACACTATGAAAACTTTCATCATCTTAGCATTTGGATGGGAAACAAGAAAGAACGAATTTTCTTATCAAGTTGATTATTAATTAATTTTTAATTAAACACTCTACTTTAGTTTTTCTTACTAATATAATTTCAGTTAAGTTTAACAAGATGTGATAGTCATGTGTGTGGAGCAGTCATTCTTAATAGCGACTAGGCTATAACTGCTGCTCTTTGTGTTTCAAGTGGAAGTAATTCTGGTTTAAAAGTTATTGCAGGTCTTCACAATCGATTCGAAGATTCGGATCCCGCTGTTCAAAAATCTGAAATATTACAAGTAAAGAATCAAGAAGAATGGCATGAACCTAATCGTCATTCAAATGATATCTCACTTCTTAAATTGGCCACTAAGTTAATATTTAACGAAAACGTCGCTCCTTCATGTGCACCAAGAGAAGTTGACTATGCAGGAGATACTGTTACTATTTCGGGATGGGGAACCACCTATTCGGGAGGATATGTTACAGAAGAATTGAGATATACCTACGTCATAGTTCAAACCAACGCAAAATGCAGTGAATCGTATCCTGATCGTATTGATGAAACAATGGTCTGTGCCGCTGCTCCAGGAAGAGATACATGTAAAGGAGATTCCGGTGGTCCAATGGCCTACAATAATAACGGAAGATTTGAAGTAATGGGCTTGACATCGTGGGGAAGAGGTTGCGCTCTCGAAGGTTTTGCTGGTGTATATTCAAGAGTCAGTGCTCAACTTAAATGGATTGCCGATAATGCAAAATAAAGTTTTATCTTTATAAATTTTGAATAAATTGAACTGATTATTACCGTATTTATTAGCAATTGTCTCTCTTTCAGCAACTCTAAAAGTCAAAGATTTCTAATCATTAAAAAGAATAAAGGCTGGGAAATGTTTAGTAAAGTTGAATCAAATACTTAGAAGACACTCTGAGTATTAGTTAATGTAAAGTAGTTGACCAATTCTGATGATATGGTTATCTTATATACTTTATAACTATTATTAAAAGTCTCAGGAAAAAAGTAGTCTTAAGATGATAATAAAAGGCAAAAATTTGATATTAACAGGAGAAAATCATCTTTCATTAAGCTATCAAAATAATATTCTTATACTATCCAATATCTTAAAGATTAGTGTAGAGCAATGTAAACCCAAATACCATTTATCATTAAATGTTGAAATCCTACTAGAAAAAACGTCTAAGTTTTCTAATTCAACTATAGATATTGTAATCAATCAATAAGAAATCATAGTAGTATTTATACCTTTACAAAAAAGTGTTTTACTCTTTACAATGTAATATTTCTATCTGAATGTAGTGCCGTTAACATTTCCACAAGTTAATCAAAATAAATGAATTAGAAATTCATCAGATACTCAATACATTCTCATTTTACAAATCTTTACGTACATAATAATGGATTAATTAAGTCAATGCTAACATCTTATACAAAACAGCTGTCTTTCATCTTCTGAATGTGGAACTATCCGAATAATTAGTATAATTATTAAATAGTTAATGAGATATTTTTAGAAAGACGCCAACAATTGAAAATCTTTTTTATTATCTTACATAGTGATAATTCTTGTTATTTTTAGTAATATTTTATGAAATGTCAATCTTAATGTCACTATGAAAACAACATTCGTTATTTTCTAATATTTTGGCACCAAAACAAAGCTAAAATTCAAAAAGGAAACTTCATGGCAACAGTTTAGTGTACAATAACTAATTAATTCAAACTGCTTAAATGAAAAAATATTATCCTAAAATTAACCAACAATGAATTACATTCTGATCATCAATCTTGAAACATTCTATGAAAAACTTATACTCTAAAATTTACCAAACGATGAATTACTTGTTAAAATACTGTATTCTTATAGAATTCAACATGAAGAATTGAATGTAAATCAGTGGAGAGCATCTTTCTGAAATTATAACTCATTCAAAAAGATACACATGAGAAAGATGTTTTCTTAAACGGCGTTTTCACGGATCCATTCGAGTTGAGGAGAAACTCTAGCATACACACCGGGGTGAGTTGGAAGAGCGCATCCTCTTCCCCATGAAGTTAAACCAACAATTTCGAATTTGCCATTGTTATTATAAGCCAATGGACCACCAGAATCCATTTGACAAGTATCCCGTCCTGGAGCAGCAGCGCAAATCATAGTTTCATCAATGCTACCTGGATATGGTCCTTCACAATCGGCATTTGTCCAAACTTGAACATTCGTATATCTCAATTCATCAGTTGCTGGACTTCCGGAAAAAGTACCACCCCATCCAGAAATGGTTACAGTTTCTCCATTGTAGGTAATATCTCTTGGACTACAAATTGGAGCAATATCTTCACTGAGAGTCAAAGGAGAAGCGAGTTTCAACAAAGAGATATCGTTTGAATAACGTTTTGGATCGGTATATTTTTCATGGTTGATAACTTGAAGAACTTCAGATCTATGTTCAGGACCATGAGGATTACTTCTAATATGTGCACCAGCTAGAACTTCTAAACCAGTTGTAGAACCGGAAGAGACGCAATGAGCAGCAGTCAAAATCCAATTGCTGTTTAGAACAACACCTCCGCAATTGTGAGATCCAAAAATGTTTAGGCTTATCTGTAATATTTAATAAATGTTTATAGGATTCGAATAAAGCGAAGAAGAACAAGTTGAAAACAAACTTGATAAGGAAATTCATTTGGTCTTGACTCCCATCCACCAACTACTCTTCCGAATTTATCAGTTGATTGTTCTCTGCCAGGATCGCTGTATTTGCTTTTACCGCAATCGCCTAATTGAAGAAAAGAATTTAGTGGAAATATACTTAACAAAACAAAGACATACTGATCCATTGGGCGTTAATTTCTACTACAACTGCAAACAAGGCAATGAAAATCTTCATATTTGATGTTTGTTTGTCTCCAAACTGTGTTCAATTGACCGAGGTAAGGTCTTTTATATAATTTCTTTACTCTTCCATTTGTTATTTCCCAGATTATTTGGTACCAGATTTGTATTTGATTTTCGTAAAATGTTAACAAGCATACTGTATGTATGTGTTTTCTTTTGATAACTTCCTGTTGAACGATAACGAATCGAGCATTATCAAAAGTTCGTTGAAATGTCTTTATACTGTTGAACAAAGTTTGTTATCTTAAACATTTTTTATCTGAAAATGATTGGCGTAGTCGAAGTCGTATGTAAGATTAATAATTTATCTCACTTCCGACGGAGGTGGGTAGAAACAGCCGAAAACATGTTCTTGTCTATACTTTTAAAACAAAAGTGATAATAATATGCTTGTTAATCCTATATGAAAATCAAATACAAATCTGGTACCAAATAATCTGGGAAATAACAGATGGAAGAGTAATGAAGTTGTATAAAAGACCTTACCACTGTCAATTAAACACAGTTTGGTGACAAACAAACATCAAATATGAAGATTTTCATTGCCTTGTTTGCAGTTGTAGTAGGAATTAACGCCCAATGGATCAGTATGTCTTTGTTTTGTTAAGTATATTTCCACTAAATTCTTTTCTTCAATTAGGCGATTGCGGTAAAAGCAAATACAGCGATCCTGGCAGAGAACAATCAACTGATAAATTCGGAAGAGTAGTTGGTGGATGGGAGTCAAGACCAAATGAATTTCCTTATCAAGTTTGTTTTCAACTTGTTCTTCTTCACTTTATTCGAATCCTATAAACATTTATTAAATATTACAGATAAGCCTAAACATTTTTGGATCTCACAATTGCGGAGGTGTTGTTCTAAACAGCAATTGGATTTTGACTGCTGCTCATTGCGTCTCTTCCGGTTCTACAACTGGTTTAGAAGTTCTAGCTGGTGCACATATTAGAAGTAATCCTCATGGTCCTGAACATAGATCTGAAGTTCTTCAAGTTATCAACCATGAAAAATATACCGATCCAAAACGTTATTCAAACGATATCTCTTTGTTGAAACTCGCTTCTCCTTTGACTCTCAGTGAAGATATTGCTCCAATTTGTAGTCCAAGAGATATTACCTACAATGGAGAAACTGTAACCATTTCTGGATGGGGTGGTACTTTTTCCGGAAGTCCAGCAACTGATGAATTGAGATATACGAATGTTCAAGTTTGGACAAATGCCGATTGTGAAGGACCATATCCAGGTAGCATTGATGAAACTATGATTTGCGCTGCTGCTCCAGGACGGGATACTTGTCAAATGGATTCTGGTGGTCCATTGGCTTATAATAACAATGGCAAATTCGAAATTGTTGGTTTAACTTCATGGGGAAGAGGATGCGCTCTTCCAACTCACCCCGGTGTGTATGCTAGAGTTTCTCCTCAACTCGAATGGATCCGTGAAAACGCCGTTTAAGAAAACATCTTTCTCATGTGTATCTTTTTGAATGAGTTATAATTTCAGAAAGATGCTCTCCACTGATTTACATTCAATTCTTCATGTTGAATTCTATAACAATACAGTATTTTAACAAGTAATTCATTGTTTGGTTAATTTTAGAGTATAAGTTTTTCATAGAATGTTCAAGATTGGTGATCAGAATGTCTCATGATTTTTTTTGTCTTTAAACATGATCTCTAAAACGCTGTGAAAGAATGGTATTATTTTCGCTATAGATACATTAAAACCCTTTTTATTTTTTAGAAAATTGAATTTGGGTAATATATATACAATTTAGTAAACACTTGTGGCATTTATATTAATTATGTTATTGTAAACATTACGATGTCTTGTGTTTTTTTAAAGTTTGACATTCTTAGTATTTTCTCTATCCTTTCATTGTATGGCTAATGTTGTCTAACGTCACATAATATAACATATAATTTTTATGTAAATGAAGAGTCATGCTAATTTCAAAATGAATGCATAAGAGATCCTTGCTTACTGTACCGAAGCTAAAGTTAGGATTGTATCCGTAGGCTATATACGTTAAACTGGAAAATGATAATTGGGATATGTTTATAGTAATTTTACTTTAACTAGTAAAGCAAAAATCCTTTAAATGGTTTTTCTCAACGGCACTTATATAGCCATATTTATTCCAATGATTTTGAAAGGATAAAGTAATGATTGAATGGCAAAGATAATATTCTTAATTCGTATTCTAGTTTATAGAGTTGCCAGTATCTTAAAACTTGCATTGTTGTTATAAACTATTATGCTAGTAGAGTTTCTTGACATATATCTTCTAGTATTTTCGTTCAGAAATTGAAAGAGTGCGATAAATTTATGATGCAAAGTGACAGTAAGTTTCCAGTGCTCTCAGTAAGAGAATTATATTACAAAGAAAAATTGAAAAAAAGAAACTTTCACGATAGATGAACAAAATAGTGTATGCCTGCTGTGTTGTGTGTCAGGATGAGTGTGTGCCAGGGAAAAGGATTGAGTGTTCATTGTGTAATGAGGACGGGTGACTTGGAGTTACGCTCTCGAGGGTCAGTTCGACTTGGAATCAAATCAACACCACAGATGTAGCACCATCAATGTGGGTGAGTAGAGTCAAGCGTCCCGTAATATGACATGAGTGAAATTGAGAAAGTATAAAAGGAAGAAAATGAACAGTAGGGTGTGAGACAAACAACAGGAATTACAAATAAAATTGAAACGAAATGATTGAGTAATTTCGTGATACGAGTCAATTTAAGTCTTGCACAGTTACAATTTTATTTGTACATAATTTCGTAATAGTGGAGAGTAACTACTCACCAAATGCTGATAACCTACAAGGAATGAGTGGTAGTGATGAAATAGAAAAGATAGATGTTGAAGCAGACTTCAGGACTATCTATACAGGGGCAGTAGGAGACATGTCTGAGAAGTATGGTGCAAGCAAAGTAGTAGCTGCTCCAGCGAAGGAAGCACTTCCTCAGAGAAAAGGAAAAGAAACAAGCAGGGAAGCGCGAACGAAGAAGATGAGCTAGAAGTAGTAGTGAAGCAGGCAGAGAAAAAGAGAAGG